TCCTCATTTAAATATTAAAAAAATAATTAAATCCAACTCACCAAATAATTTCTTATTTATTTAATTCACTCAAGTTTATGTCCAAATAATTTAATATAATAATTTAATTATTTTTAATTATTTCTATTTTAGTTTCTATAAAATCAAAACCCAAATAAACAATATTTTAAATATTATACATATTTTTCAACTCACCAAATCATTTGTAGTCTATTCAGTACCTCAAATGTTCTCCCTCTGTAATAAGTTAAAATTATCTAACTATTTTCATTTATTTATCCATCTAATTACTTCTGTTTCAATTATAATAAATAACATTATGATATAATATATATAGGTTCTTGTGAGATTGCGATCTTATGAAAGAAATAAGAATGAATTTGGTGCTTTAGATTGTGAGATTTAAGAGTCAGTATTGCATCAAAATTAGGTGCACCAAAATGGTTTGAAAATGCGTCATGTCGAAATGCACCAAAATCCTTTAAAATGCGCTATCTCAAAATCTAAGTGCAGGATGCAATCTGAGCCGCGCGATGCATTAGATCAAAAGACTAGATTTTATTCTTATTTCTTTCACCACGGTGCATTCTCACCTGAACCGGATATATATATATATATATATATATATATATATATATATATATATATATATATATATATATATATATATATATATATATATATTTCTCGTATTGATTTTAATAAAACTTCTAATTATTTAGAAAAAGAAACACAAGCAGTATCTAATATACTTGTTTAATAAATATATAAAAATAGTTCAAAAAATAAATAAACAAAACCATTTAAGTTTTATTTAAGAAAATACCTATACTTAAAAAATATTTTTTCTCAAAACAAAGAATACCTAAAAAAAATTTGTCATCAATAAAAATTAAGAAATATTTAGTAAATATACCTTAATATATGAAATTTAGTTTTTTCTTCTACTTTTTCTCGTTCCAATTAACTAAATATAAATGTAAAGTGTTACATACGAATTTTGGAGTATTATGTAAAACATATTACCTAGGCTTTACTTTTAAGAAATATGAGAATTGACTTTTTTAATTTTATTAGACACTCATCATTTATATTTAATACCTAATAGTAATAAAAAATAGCAAAATAAAACTATGACGACATATGAAAAATAATGTTGAAAATTAAATGGAAGAGTGAAAAAACACAAATATAATATCTAATTACTCCCTCCGTCTGAAACTGTTTTTTCCTCTTTCTTTTTTGGTTCGTCCAAAAATATTCTTCTCATTTTCTTTTTTTAGTATTGGATAAATTGCAATGATACCCTTCTATTTTATCACTAATATACCCTTCTGTTTTTTCCTCTTTCTTTTTTGGTTCGTCTCAGTTCAGCCCATGATTGGGCCGTCCGCCTCGTTGCCCATGCGCGCCTTGTTGGGCCTGATCCGTTACGCGCACTTGGACTCGTTTACCTTGCACGATTGTGGACCTTTATCGGGCGTAGAGTCGGGTCCATCAGACCCAATATCCATCAAAATATAATTAGCTTATGCACTTTAATTTGTTAAGACAATAGGAATAGGACCTTTAGGCCTCTTTTTTACTTTCGATCAAGGCCATCAAGTTCTCATGATTGACCCTAAAGAAGGTAAAGCCAAGTTTGATTCCTAACCATTGCACTGGGTGCAGACTTCTTTCTTTATCACTAATCTAATTTGTTATTAAAATCTATTATCTCCTTTTGGAAATATTCTTTCCATTTGACTTTTCACGATCTCCAATATTGCACTTTAAACAACAATATCTATATTTATACATGGATATATTTTATAAAAATTTGATATTTGAAAACTACATTACATTATGAATATATTAATATTAAAATTACGTCATAATACAATGTTTTTTTTCTACGAATCGTAATCAAAGTTTATAAACTTGTATATGAAAACTTTTCTCTGTCCTAATAGGATGCGTGGGCTAATCCTTTTTTGTGAAACCCTCCCCTGCAAATTTTTAGAGCTCCATTCTCAGCAGCTGAAAAGGGGAAAGGGGTTGGAGTTGCAGTTTGCAAAGCATGATTCAGCTACTCTTCCCCCTGATATTCGCCGAGATGGCGCTGATCGTGATCTTTGTCTTCAAAACTCCTCTTCGGAAGCTGGTGATCTTGGGCCTGGACCGCCTCAAACGCGGCCGGGGACCTATCGTTGTTAAGACCATCGCCGGAACCATCACGGTGGTCATGCTCTCCAGTGTCTACAATGTGGTTTCGATTCGAAATCGGTGGATCGAGGATGAAGGCGGCGATATAACCCCCACCGATCAGATCCTCCTGGCTCAACATCTCCTCGAAGCTTCTCTCATGGGTAATATCCTCCTCTTTTTTATTTCCCTTTTTTTCCTCTTCTTCCCCTTGGCAAGTAATTATGGGAGATCTGAACAATCCCTTCAATTGAAGTTACAAATTTGAGTGAGATTATTAGGTTGGAAACTTGGAATCAGATTTCCATTTTCAAACAATTTTTTCCTACTCCACCAAAAAATGCTCTTATAGTTTGTATTAAGCTTTGAATCGAGGGGCAACCCGGGCATATTAGGCTATCTGGTGCACAAAGAATCTCACCTAGTGAGCCCAAACCTAACAGGTGACCCCGGTAGAACCGGACAGTTACTTGAGAGGATGTATGCGAGGAGGTAAATTGTGCTTTAATTCTAATTTGAGTTCTTTAGGCACTCAAACGTGTGAACTCAATGTCCTACGCCACATGGTAAACTCTCTAAGGAAACTTTTTAAGAAACTCTAACTCTCTAAGGGAACTTTTATAATGAGCAGTTTATAACAACAACAACAACCCAGTAGAATCTCTCAAAGATAGGGTCGGGGAGGGCGTGTGTACGCAGACTTTACCCCTACTCGAGAGTAGAGTGGTTGTTTCCAAGAGACTCCCGACTCAACAGTTTTATTAGTTTACGTGTAGAAATAACATCTGGCGCTTCTTGCCACAAGTTTCTTGCGTTTCTGTTTCCGTGCAGCATGGACTGCACCCGAGTCTTCAAACATGAAACGGTAATGTTCACACTTCACATGAACTTCATTTGATTGAACTCACTCAGATTGTCAGATTTGATAGGCTACACTATTACATCAGAGAGTATATACTTCACTCCAAAAGTATATGCATACTTCCATTTCAAAAAAACAGTGCTCTTAATTATATAAAACTTGAATGGGATGAAGAATGAGCCCATTTTGTTTTACCACTCTCCCTCTCTCACTCTCTTTGATTATGTAGGATTCTACTATGAAATACTACTGTGCACACTTGACTTTCTGAATCAATCACTCATTCAAGCAATCAAAACTGTTTTGCTCCAGGGTTCTCTCTCTTCCTAGCTCTAATGATCGACAGGCTACACTATTACATCAGAGAGCTTCGCATGAGACGGAAGGCCATGGAAGCATTGAAAAAGGAGAGCCGAGCATTTGAGGAAGACAAGAGGGGAATTGCATCGGACGAGATTAGATCCATGGAGGAGCAGGCCAGTTCACTGCGACAAAGAATGAAGGAGCTGGAAGCGGAGCTGGAGGAGAACAGGAAAGAAGTGGTAAGCTCTGAAGCCAACTCGATTGCTTTGAAGAAGCAAGCAGACGGGTTTCATCTTGAGTACGACCGGTTGCTTGAAGAGAACCAAAATCTAAGAGAACAATTGCAGTCGCTGGACAGGAAGCTGTCGCATTCCGACGTCAAGAAGGATTCGTGAGAAAATTCTTGTCATGGTATATACTATTTTACCCTGGGATTTTCAGGAAGTTCACATTTGTGTGTGTGGTCATTGCACATTTCTGTTAACTGCTTTCTGTATACAGATCCTGAAGCTCTTTACAGAATTTCTCTTTAGGAAAATAGGTTGTAGGGATGCCGATCCAACACGAATCTGACCTTAACCAACTTGACCTAACCATAAAATTAGGGATGGCAACGTGTCGGGTTCGGATATACCCCTACCCGAAACCGACCCGAAATTTTGATCGGATATTTTTTTTGCCTGAACCCGAACCATCGGGTATAAATTTCTACCGGAACCGAACCCGACTGCCTAAACCGAAACCTGAAACCGCATCCGAACTCGAGAATTTGACAAAAACCTAAGCCTAACCCGACCTGAAAACTGACCAACCCGACTGACCGACCGACCGACCCGACCGACTGATCATACCAATATCCTAATAAATCAGTTTTTTGTAATGATTTTTATTAAAATAATGATAAAATAATAAATGCATGTAATGATATAATTAGAATTCTAATACATAAAAACATTTGAACGTTTAAAGACATCATAAAATTAAGATATTAAAAAAGATGTGTCCAAAATAACAACCAAAACATGGAAGTATAACAAGTTTTCACAAATATTTCACAAGAGAAACAACACACATAAATATAACAAGTTTTCACAAATATTTTTCATGTCTGTAACTGGTAACTCCCGTAAGCCAAAGACTTTTAATTGAAAAAGGTTTTTTTATATTTTAAAAAGACCTTTTATTTCGGGTTAATTATCGGGTCGGTCGGGAACGAGTCGGGTCAGTCAAATTTAATTACCGAAAACCGACCCGACAAAAGTCGGGTTCGGTTTTAAAATCTTCGGGTCGGTTTCGAATATTTATTTTTTCGGTCGGATTCAGATATTATATATATCGGTCGGGTCGGAAAAAGTCGGATTTGGATAAAATTGTTGTCCCTACATAAATGCTCAGGGATTCGACAAATTGAAACCCGAAATGGCTGTTCGCCCATAAATGACCTAAACAACCCGAATACGACCAAGTCATAAAAATATATACCGAGTATAAAAGTTTGGTTCGAATGATTTTTTTTTAAAAAATCGTGTTTGAAATGGTGTTTCTAGTGTACATACCATTGTTACCACTTACCATGGATTAATCATTACACTTTTATATACGGAGTATTTCGTAGTTGCAAATTATTATCCTTTGTCCACTGGTATCTTGATATTAGTCTGAGATTTTATTTTATTTTTAATTGAAAGGTCAACATTATAAACTTCCAAACATATTAGGCTAAGAATTGCCTAATATTGAAGGAAAACCGATCCAAACATATTAGGCTAAGAATCTATCTCTAAAGAGTTACATTACATTGAAGGATACTCCCATAAACAGATAGCTTTTATGTACAGAAGAACATTACAAGATCAGCAAGGGGGGCAATATGGAGTTATCTGGCTAGGCTTAGGCGGCTTCCGCAAATCCAACCTGCAGATTGCCATAGTCGAACACCGTGTGATACTTCCCCATGAAAACATCTCCCAATATCCTGCACCACCACCGCCACCAAAACCGCATTATCAATAAAAACTCCCGTCGGGTGAGGGTTGTAGAAATGACGACGAAAAAGCCGTATTCTCTTACCAGAGCGGCCCGAGAGAGGGGGCGACATCCAGCGCTGTAAACCCGCTCACGCATTGTGCAGCTGGGCCCACGCCCACCTTCAGTATGTACTGCTCATTCACACGAAAAATCAATCGGCTAGGAAAAACAACAAGCCAAGGCCCAGAGATATACCCCCCTATTCTAAAGTAGGGTATCTATATAGACTCGAGCTACAGTAACCCCTACATTTTGGGGTTACCATGACCTCACCTTAAGCTTTGTCGAGACACGCACAGACAATTTCTGTCTGCGCCCCAGCCAATAAGTATTGTGCATGTCTGTGTAAAGCTTAGGGTCATCGTAACCCCAAAATGTTAGGGTTATCATAGCTTTATTCACATACCTCATCAGGGGAGAGAGGGAACGTTTTTTTGCCAATCGTGAAAGAAACACTAGGCATCGAAGAAAGCTTTCCACAGTCGATAGTCGATTCTCCCATTGGGCTCGGCAGACGTTCACATAGCTGTGTGTTTTTAGATAGTGAGCCATTTACCAAAGGGGAAGTTTGAGGTATAAACATTTTGACGTATTTTACCTCATTGGCATACGACAATATTTGGTCTCGCGTATGGTTCTGAAGAAGTAGGGATTGCATCCAGAAGACAGCCATTTCACAAGTGCTGCACTCCCCATCGCCCGACTTNATTCCTCCAAGCCGTTTCAACCAAACGACCCCTTCGTTAAACAACCAACTAAAGATAAATAATAGTAATACCTCCGTTAGAAGCAAATCAACAATTCTTTGCCCATAATTTTCAACCAAAACTTTGCATTCTTGGCTAACCACACCAGAGGCTCCAATGGCATGATTGATCATGGTAATCACAGCCTGCACCCCCCCACACACACACACAAACCATCTAAGGTCTAAATAAAACACTACCTCTATTTTCGTTTGTGAAGGGTAAAAGTGTAAAACCACGCACCGTTGGGCCGGCTAGGAGAGAAGTCCCTGAATCCGCTATTGCAGCACATCCATTCCCACAATACCCTTCGATTCGAAAGCAATATTTGATCGGTCATACAGTACAACTACCACTTCCTTAACTCGCAAAGTGGTGGAAGAGTATTTACCTGTGGGTTTGCCATGGATGAGAACATCACCCATCTCAAACTGCCAATAACCTTTCCTCGTCACCGGAACGTAGGTGTGTTTCCCCTTGTAGTGATTGGGATCTACTCCACCAAATACAATTTCTCCCCCTTCCTCGTCTTGTACGTTGCGGTTAAGCCAAAATGAGAAAACCGGCTGGTTAACTAGTCCTTGGTTCATCATGTTGTACCTGTTTGTGAGATAGGAATAAGAAATTGAATTGTAAAGAAACTATGAAAATCTAAGCTAACACTTTGTGCACTAAAGATTGAAAAAAGAAGAAAGAAAAGGTGAACATGTACCAAACCGGAACAGCATTTCCAACAGAAATCTCCTGGAACCCAAGACCCAAGATACCATCAAACTTGCCAACGAGAAACGTCAGGCTTGGCTCCCTAGTTGCCTCAATAAAATCCTGTTAATGATCAAGTTAAATTTCACCACCATGACACGACAAAAACCGTCCATGATCAAAAGACCCTAACTCGCCTGTTTTTTCACAACAAGATCACCAACTTGGACACTATCCTGACTGAAGAAGCCCGAGATTGCCCCGGATCCATACTGGATTGCAGCAGCAGTTCCTTTCATGTATGACAAAGAGGTTCATGAAAAAACTGTAAAGACATCATTTTTATTGGTATATATATATAGGCCATAACACAAACCATTCTTTTTATAAGTACTGGATAGGATTGACTTGTATTTAGAATGGAAGAAACAAGAAAGCTGCAAAACAGTGAAAACCATCAAACCATTTAGTTAAAGAACCAACAAAATAAACTCAATAGTATAGGCAATATAAAGAGCAGAGAACTTCACTGAGAAATAGCACTTTGACGACGGAACCCATAAGTTGGAGCTCCCGGTGTCAAAGATGACAGTGAACTTTTGAGGAGGGGTACCAATGCCAATCACCCCAAAGTACTGAGCATCCAAGTAGTTCTTTAGTGCCACGATATCAGAGTCCTCGGAATTCCAGAATCGACCCTGGAAGTTATGCTTCCTTGAGTGCCCTCTGCTCTTGGAGGCAATTAGGTGCTCCTGGTCCAGTTTCATCTTTCTGAGTGAAATCCTAACCAGCCCATCATTTGAGGCGGCGCAGAGGCATGGAGAAAGCCATAGAGATGATAGGAAGAGGGTGACAAGTAATGCTTTGACTCCCATCTTCACCTGCAAGTTTTGTTAGAGTTATGCAAATTCTAATTAAGAATCCCTTCATAACCACTTGTGGATGCCTTTAAATTTGTTAGAACTTTAAATATCTTCGTAGCTCCGATACTTTCATAAGATATACGGTCGGATTTCTATCTTCCACCTAGCTAACGAATATATTTTTTATACAGTAATAAATATTAACTTTAAAAATCTCTAATTGTTTGTCTGAAACACTATTCATAATTTATCTGGTGAAAAAATAAATGCATTTCAGTTTTATTAAATTAACATACACTAAATAACTACCTAGTTAGCATTTTAAAATGCCACATATTTCTCTTAGTGCATCCCCAATGAGATTTTTTGGGAAAAAAGTGGGGAAACTTTGGAAGAGTCATTGAAATTCCAGACACAACTCTCAAATCAATCTATCTAATAAAAATCAGATACCTAATCAATAACACTTACTCCGTATTTTCTAAAAATAAAAATTAGTTACAAGTTTTTTGTTATAAAAAATGTTAATTTAAAAAAACAAAAAAAAAAAGATTAAAAAAACCGTTAAAAACCAAACACATAAAAAAGCAATAATAATGTTTGTGGTGCTCTTATTTATATTTTGTACGAATTTTGTACGATTTACATGTTATGTGTATTTACTTATGTAATTTTAATGAAATGTACACATGTTACTTTGTGTAATTTTGTGTTAACTTTATATAGTAATTATCTCTTATTTTAATAAATATGTAGTATATAAAAGGTTAATTATATATATAAAAAATTGATTGAAAAAATCAATATGTAATGCACGTATATAATTTATTTAATATAAATAGAGTTAGTCATTCGGCCCGGGAAGGGATATTGTCCAAGTGGTCAAAAACATTGAAATTAAAGAGAGTAAAATGTTGATGTGACGAAAGCTGAGAGAGTTAGCGGGGGTTGGCGTAATCTTTTAACGTCCAAGGGTCCGTTTGGTATACAGAATTGATGAAATTGAAATTGAATTGAAATTGAAATTCTATGGGATTCAATTCCATAGAATTGAATTCACCAATTCAAATTCATTTTTTGCACTATCAATTCCAAATCCACGTGATTTTTGTGCTACCAAACTCCAAAATTGAAATTGAAGTTCTCAATTCTAATTCTATAATTTGAATTCCGTGTACCAAACAAGCCTAAAGAACCATTTGAAACAGTAAAATTATTGATGTGACAAAATCTGAAAGATTGATGTCCTTAGTTGGACACCTGGAGTTAGGGGTGTTCAAAAATATCCGATCCGAAATATCCATCCACGATCCGGGCCGATCCGATCCGATATTTTAGCTTTCGGATATTTCGGATCGGATACCCGAAAAAAATCGGATCGGATATGGATTCAATTTCTGGAATTTTTCGGATAATCGGATATCCGATTTTTTTTTGCTATATGTTTTTGGAATTTTATGGATATATATTATGACTATATGTTTAAATGTAATTTTATATTGATTTTGGAACTCAACCATTTTGGACTTTTTGCATTAGCATTGTAGAATCTTTTGTTTTAATAGTGTTTTTTTGTTTGTTTAGGCAAAATTACCAAAGTTACTCCCAAATTAAATTTGGTATCATCTTTTTATTAGGCCTTTACCTAGTGGTGGAATTTTTCTTTTAGTAAATCTATATTGAATTTGATATTTTGGGTTAATTTTGCTATTTTACCTTTTTTTTGTAAATTTTGGCTAAAAACTCAACTTTTTGGATAATCCAGTGATCCGATCCGAAAAATCAGATATCCAAATTTCGGATATCCAAATATTTTCAGATCGGATATGGAATGAGTTTTACATGATCCGAAATATTCGGATATCCGAATTTTCGGATCGGATCGGATCGATCCGATTGAACAGCCCTACCTGGAGTAACAGTGTTTAAATGAGTAAATCGAATAGCATCAATTATTAAATTTTAGAGTATTAACGTAAAATCACTCATTTCTTGAAGTGTTAATGTAACTAATTTTTCCATAACAATATGTGCTTTTGTGATTTAAATATATATTCATTTTAGTACGGAGTAAATGGAATTTGAATAAGTTCAATTCAACAAATTGAATAGTAATACAACTCTCTAACTATATTAACATTCGGAGTATATAAAAATAAAATTAAAAAAATGCTATGTTCAATTCAGCTTAATTACCTCAAGGAATCGGAGAAGAGAAGAACGATTAAACGAAGAAAAGATGAAAGCTAATACGAGAGTATATATTTGTATGCGCGAAAACGGAGAAAAATTGGCCGTCAGATTTGTTGAGCGGTTATCGGCGAGAGCCGTCGATGATGGCGTCACAATCGCGGGGTATTCGGGTCGGGGCCCAACAATGAAATATAATCTATGCCGTTGGGAGACTGATCGACGGTGGAAATTAAAGGAATCTAATGTAATGGAGTCCGAAGTCGGTGAGAGATTATATTAGAGAGATATGGACGGGACGGGCGATCCTTCCACGTGTCCGGAGTGCAGACGACCACGCGACACGTGTTGCCTTTTGGATCCCAAATTGCCGCATGCCCTTGTTTTCGAGAAAAAATAACCTACAATCACACAAATTAGATTATACATCCGCTTGTAACTAAAGTTGGATACATTCGGTAAAACAAAATGAAAATTTCAAATGGGAGATCGCGAGGGGCAACACACGAGATCAAAGAAGGAGCAATACAGATTGCGAGGGGCAATGCACTAGATCGACGAAGGAGCAACGCAGATTGCGAAGGCCAGCGCACCAGATCGACGAAAAAGCAGCGCAGATCGCGAGGGGCAGCGCACCAGATCGACGAAGGTCGTAAAGAGCAGCGAAGGTGATGGTGGCGAGAGGGATGGTATACCAGTTCGACGAAGGTGGTGGTAGCGAAAACTCTATGTGGCGAAAACCTAGGTGGCGACTATACAAATGGGGGAAGCCGCGGATGTAGAAACCTTAGGTCCGCTGGAAGATCTCAGCGTTTTAGCGGTGAAGATGAAGAAGGGTTCCAGATTTCAGGCTCTTAGTTGGTTGAGAATGAACAGTGGCGGATCCAGAAATCCAAACCACTAGGGGCAGACTTGAAGAAAAAATCATTCTCCTTTTGTTCCACAAAATATTTCTTGTTTTAAAAAATGAACTTTAAAAATATTTAATTTTAATATTATTTTCTAATTTTTATCCAAAACATCATATCCTTTTTTTTGAACAAATATGCAATTGTATTATCCCCACAAAAGCCAAATACATAAACTTACCGTCTCAAAATCAACATTATCTTCTCCCTCTACATACTCTATACATATCCTACCATATTATAAAATTACAGCAGATCGAATTAGAAAATAATACATTTTTTAAAGTGTACCTTTTTTCAGATAAAAATTATTTTGTGAGATGAAAGAAGTATTGAATTTCTTGGTGTAGATAGAAATTGATAATGAAGAAAAATATGTGGTGTAAATAGAGTACAATTTGGTGTACCAATAAATAGAGCAAGATTTTTTTTGAGAAATAAAGCAAAATAATACTCCCTCCGTCCCAATGTATTTGTCTAGTTTGATTTTTTCGAGTCAAATTGGACAAACTTTGAGCTTCAATTAAATAAAAACTGTAATGTATTTTAACATAAAAATAAATTTATTGAATTTATCGTATTAAGAACTTTCAAAATTGTATTTTATTATGCTAATATGCAATATAAATTGAGAGCAATTAGAGTTCAAAGTTTGTCTAGTTTGACTCAAAAAAATCAAACAAAACAAATACACTGGGACGGAAGTAGTATATTACAGAGTAATATAATAGCAATGTAACGTATGAAATAACAATTCAATTTTTTTTTATGTTTTTTGAAAAGTTTTTTTTTTTTTTGCTTTTACGGAAGTGGCCAAGAAGGGATTGGGGGCAACCAATTTTTTTTATGGGGGCATCACTTTTATTTCATTAAAAGAATAAAGATACTCAATGTACTAGTAAATTTTGTCTTAAACTCACTTGGGGCAAGTGCCCCCATTCCTTTAAACATAGATCCGCCCCTGAGAATGAACACTACCTTATTTGAGAATGAGTACCACTTTGTTTCGGAACAAACACTACGTTATTAGTAAATTAATATTTTAATTGTATTGAACAAGTTTGCGAAAATGAGTATTACATTAATTTAGAATGAATGCTATGTTACTTCAGAATGAGTAGTACTTTATTTTAAAAGAGTACTAAATAGTTGTACCTTACTTCTGGCAAAGCCGGTTGTACCATATACGGAGTCACTTTATTTTGACCAATTGTCTTTACATACGTTATAAACATGGCATAATGTTCGGTGTCTATGAAGGCATGCATGAGGTGAAAAGTAGGGTTTAAGGTGGGATTGTTCTAGCGTGGCTCTTTTTTAAATGTGCAACGATGTGGTGTCAAAATAGAATCATTGCTTTGTACTGTGGCATTTTGACATTATATATTATAGTGTGTTTTGGTATTAATGTTTAAAATATTGACACAATAGCTTCAGTTTTGATGATGAAATCATAAAATTTCTATTTTTGTATTTTTTTTACTTCTTGTTAAATCATTTTCCCATGCAGATTATGTGATATCTTTTCGTTGGAAAATGTATTACACCCCAGAAAATATATGTTGATATATTATGGGGCCATTGCACATCTCCAGGATGCGAATAAGGAGTATAAAAAAGTATAGAGAAGATGAAACTTTTCCTACAATAATAAACAATTATTGGTGTTGTTATTGTTGTTGTTGTTATTATTATTATTATTATAGTTATTATTATTATTATAGTTATTATTATTATTATTATTATTATTATTATTATTATTATTATTATTATTATTATTATTATTATTATTATTATTATTATTATTATTATTATACCCTCTACGTCTCTCAATAAATTACACCTTTCAATTGACGTACAAACTCGTATGACTTTTAAAATGAAATATGAAATGTTGAAATGTTAAAACAAAACATCACACCCATAAAACATATTAATACAAGTTTAATGGATAACATTTTTCCTTAATCTCCAACAAGAACTTGTCTGGTTTTTAAGACCCTCAATCATCATCATCATCGTCATCAATGAAAAACAGACAGAAAGTCCCCCATTTTAAGTCAGGTGGGCCTAAACCTGATACGAAGCCCATTACAAATTAAATATTTCGACTACTCAGTCCCCAATTATAAGTCGGCCCAATGCTCGTCTATTGAGGTTGAACTCCGCCACACCTTGGGTTTCTTACTTGGTGGACTGTGGGCTTGCATGTCATTATTGTTCGGTCTCCATAAAGATTTGACAAATACTCACTCCGTTCTTAAAATCTCTTTCGTTTTCTTTTTGGGACCGTCCAAAATTTTCTTTCTCATTTTTCATTTTTGCAAAAACTTTTAATGAATGTAGCATTATATTCCTACTTTTTTTACATTATTCATTGTATTACATCACATCAATAGCAATACATGAAAAGTCTTTACATTTTTTAACTTTTCTTAATCTTCGTATCATGTGAAATCGAGAAAGAATTTTTTAGACGGAGGAAGTAGCATAGTTGACAAATATACCTTTGATTATGGGGTATTTTTATGTCTCAGTGTTTATTAACTTATTATTCTTTCATGTAGATAAAATGACTTAACCAACACCAATTACCAAGAGACTAACCGACACAAATTGGCAAGGGGTTGGCCAACATTAGCAATTACAATCGAGCAGATTAGCCACGCCTCGTATGCTGACGCAAGACTTACGCTAAAAATAAAACTTTGTCCGCTAAAACCCTTTCGCGAGGGCTTTCGACCCACACAAACCCATCATGGAGATTCTAGTAGCGGATACTATTCATAGTAGCTGAGTGATAATTTTGTAAATAATCTGGTCAAAACAGAGAAATAAAAGAAACCGACCTTACAACAAGTAGCAATATGAGATCTACTAAATTTTTCAACATGGTAGTCATAAATTGAGAATAATACTCAGTTTAGTCTCTCGACTAATGACTTTCAAAATGGCGTTAAAACTACAATACTAATTTCCCAAAATCATCTTATCGAACTGAGTATTTTTGCAAACAATTTTATTTTCAAAATAAAAACTTACTCCCTCCGTTCCACAAAACGCTTCCTCTTTCGTTTTTTTTTGCTTTCCACAAAACACTTCCACTTTCTATTAAAAGACCTCTTTTACCCCTACTTTTTCATACCATACCTATCATATATATATCATACTTTTTCATTAATAACCAAACTATCACGTCTTACTTTTTCCCATCACATCAGGGGCAAAATTGGAAAGTCAACCAAAATTTTACTTTCCTTATTTTTTCCCAAAGTCAAAACCGGAAGGGTTTCGTAGAACGGAGGGAGTATTAAATACGGAACAATAATGCTATCTATTTGGAACAATATATGGTCTTATCAATTTGTTTCACACAATGGGTCAAAAACCTTGATGTTTGTGCCACATACATGACCTGATGAGGTCGATCAATCCACACGCAACTCTGGTAGAAACCAAAAAATTGTGTCACCTTTGAGAGGAAAAAATATGACCCGAAATGCCACAAATTAGCCCAAAGTTACGCCACCTTTTTGAAAAAAACATGACCAAATTATATTGTTAAACATGCAATTGACTCCGAGGACTTGGCTTTAACAATTTGTCCATGCCCAAGGCCGAACGGCGTCTGGGAAAGAAACGATTATTATTATTATTATTATTATTATTATTATTATTATTATTATTATTATTATTATTATTATTATTATTATTATTATGATCCGGAAGAGGAAGTCAACGGTCTTTACGTGTCAAACCCAAATTGCCGGATTAGTTGACTGCTTTCATCAACATTTCTATGCATACAACTAAACCAACCATCTCTGACAACTCCATGTTTCCTTTTTTCCTTACCTCTTCTTTGACTTCTCAACCATTTGTCCACATTAACTCATCCCAAATCCCTATCTCATCCATTTTTTCAACTCTTTCCTATGAAATTGATTACACCTTTTCATACTCCCTACAAAATAAATTTTTGGTTTGTTCTTTTCATTTTATCTGATTAGTTCTGATTTGAGTAGAATAAGTTCTTATCTGATCTTATTTGGTTTGATCTGATTTGATTGTTATTGTATTTGAAGGTGTTTATTATCTAATATGATTCGAATAATAATAAGTACTCTGTAATTCTTCTGCCCTAGAATAATTTACCTCTTTACTCGATAACTTTTTCTTTGCTTGCATGTTTTAACTGATCATTTGATAAAATTAAATATTCTTATCACATCTTCTTTTGTAAAGCTTTTGATATAATTTTTTGATGTATAAATTTTATTATTTTATCATACTAATTTAAAAATAATATCATTCTAAAATTCACGGATTCTTGCACGTCCTTTGATTAGGAAACTTCTCTTAGGGACGGAGCAAGTTATATGTAATACTCCGAAACTAATAAGAATAGGTTAAAGAGAACAAACTCTTAGTGCTCGTTCTCTTCACACGCACATTTATTTATTTTACACAAACTAATCACCATGATTCGTATTATATTGCACATAATTTTACCCATCACTTGGAGATCTCTAATTTGAAACAAAGTACAAATTTAAAAACACAAATGATCGAGTGCATGAGGCATCGACTACTCCGCTTGTTATATATTTGGCATTTTCTTATTAGTGTTACCATGTCTACTATGGTGTGATCAATTAATTACGGAGTATAAGACAACAAATCCGGAGAAAAAGTAAAAAAATATTCTCTTCATTTGCAAAAACAATTATTCATATTTTAGTTTTTTTCAGATTTATTTTCGTCGTTTGACGTTCTAATTGTGTATCCTTAATGTTGAAAGGAAAAAAAGGGAAATAATATAATCATCGCTTAAATAATTTATTATATCAATGCAAAATAAATAGAATATATTGTAATGACTTTAATAAAATATATTAGTCATTTAAAAAAAAGAAGTAGCAGTACTACATGCAACTGAATGCACGTATGAGACATTATTATTGACAACTCCCAGCCTCTAAATTTGACCTTTTAGAAAATGAGCTTTTTTTAGGGAAAAAATGTGTATAACCCACAATTTTCTTGTTATTTATTCATTTATCTATTGCACGCAAACAAATCAATAAATAGTGTCTCTGTTCCAAAACTCGTTTTCTTTCCTTTTTTTTCTTGGAATTGTCACACGAAATCTTTTACTTTTTTATTAAAAACAAATTTTTACCCTTACTAATTCTCAACCTACCTATCACATCAGATTTTTTTACTAAAAATTTACTTATCACATTCTGATTTACTCATCACATCAAAAATATTTTTAAAAAGTCAATAAAAATATCTCTCACTTAAATTTCCTAATATTCAAAATGGGAACATCTTAATGATATGGGACGGAAAAAGTAGTATATATATATATACTACCTCCGTCCCAGAATATTTGTCCACTTTCATTTTTACACACCATCCAATACACTTCTTTAATCCATTTTATCTTGTAATTTGTATATTAAAAAATTATAAAAATTATATAATAATAATCTATATGTTAAGACAAATCAAACAAGAGATCATACATGACTATATTTAGGCTTACACATTGAGAGAATTTGATGAGTCAAAATGCTTAGATGAATAGTTCCAAAAGCCAAAACTGGACGAATACTCCGGGACGGAGGGAGTATATATATATGTGTGTGTGTGTATATATATATATACACACACAGATATATATATATATATATATATATATATATATATATATATATATATATATATATATATATTGAAAACAAATTTAGAAAAAAAATAAAGGAGAATGCTAACTAAGTACTCCGTGTCTCCGTATATGCCTTCGTGTACATGGGCTATAATAATTACATGAATTATTTCATCTTAGCTTGTTCATTCATATTTTTAACCAAAAACAAATCAGGTAATATAATTATTCTATTTAAACAAGTACAGGTACAAAAAAGAATGAAAGTATATCTTTACTGCAGCTAAATCCCTCTTGATCCCCAGAAATATAATGACAGAATTTTTAAGAAAATAAAACGTGTAAATGTTTATATATACTACAAGTATATGAGATTATAACTAATATTTCCCGGAAAAACTGTTACTGTTGTTGTTATTGCTGCTGCTGGTAGGATTATTATTATTGCTAGCATTGTTGGGTTGATGAGAACCATTCATGATGGAGGAGATGGCGGCCGCCAGGGCGGCGGTGAAGTTGGGATCGGCGGTGATCGCCGCCGTGGCGGCGTTCACGGTGTCGCCCAACGAAGAGGGTTGCGTTTGCATGCGCAAATTCTGCTGAGTTGTTGGGTGGATGAAATTGTTTTGATGAGACACATGCAGGCCTGAGAGCTTTGATTGGTTGTACAAGCCTTGGCCAAAAACTTGGGGGAGTGGGGGGTAATTTTGGGGAATATGAGGGACTCCGGCGAAAGGGGGTCTAGGGTAATTAGGCAAAGTGTTGGGGTTTTGGGTGAGGTCAAGTGTGACAGTTGGGAAAGGGGCTGAGGCTGAAATTGTTGCCATGCTGCTGGATGTGCATGGGAGGATTGCCCTTGCTAGGAAATTAGGGTTCATCATCGCCCCGTCGGAGCTCGGCATCGAGCCCGACAGGAGCATGCTCGCGGCGGCCGAGGTGGTCGACGCCATCGCCATGGCCGCCGGTGGCAGCGGGTGGTTGTGGGTCCCCTCGTAAGTCGTGATCAAAATCGTTCTGTCCTCTGCACACCTTTGCACCTACACTCCGCAAAATATAAAAAAAAATCGTCAATTTTTCAATCATTTTTGTTCATTCATGATTAAATATGTTAAGAAACATGTATAAACAGCTACTACGATTGTAATAGAATTATTAGTGTTCAAAAAATATCATGTAGCGTATATTACCTGTTTGCGAACGAGGCACCCCATGGCCATGGTGCAACGATAATAAGCGCGCGGACACGGGTTTCCTTTCGCCATTTTTTGCCCATACTTTCGCCATTGGCATCCATCACTAATCTGTGACATCAAAACTCAACATCGTCACGCTTCGCCGTCCTAAAAGCCGGCAGGGCCGGTCACGAAAAATGAAAAAATAAAATAAAATGAAAAAATCAAAATAAGATTACCCTGTTTTATTTTTTAAGAACACTTTTGCTTTAAAATTATCAACAAATTTAAAAATATGGGGCCCTAAAATTTTAGGGGCCCTGTGCGGTTGACCACTTTGCACACCCTCCGGGCCACCCATGCTAAAAGGTCAACGTGGCACGAAAACGAAAACAGTATAGTTTTTTGTAAAATTTACCATGGGAGCTTCAGATCGGGCACGAACGGAGACGCGGGCCTTCCTCATGGTAGCCTCGGCCGCTTGTTCGACGGGCCTTGAACAGGAAGAAGAAGAACTCAGCCTCGGATGTTTACTCCGGTTAACCCAGCTCTCTGAATCCGGGCTTTCCTCCCTCACACCCAATTTATTACTATTACTATGTTGCCTCGGCGACGGTTCGGTCTGCTTGTTCCTGGACGAACCGGCAGAGAGCGTTCTCTCTCCCGACGAAGTACGGGAACGAGACGCCGCTTCTTCGGTCTGGTCCGCGGGACCCAACTCCAAGAATTGTCTCATCGGGACCGTGACGGTTTCTTCTCTCTCGGGTTTCCGATCAACCGCGTGGTCCCGTTGTTGTTGTTGTTGTTGTTGGATTAGAGTGGCAAGATGCAACTGTAAGGAGGTGTAGTTGTTTGACACTTGAGACAACATCCCTCTCAACCTCTGATTCTCTGCATTCATTCTCTCTAGCTCAGCTTGTAACCCTGAGATCTGACCAAATATTTTTTTTTAAAAAAAACATGTCAGATTTTTTAAATTTTACTTTCTTCGCTACTAAAAATCTTTTCTGTTTTAATTTTGTTGTCAAATAGTGACACACTTTGACCGCAAATTAAACATTACTTGAATAAATAAACGATATAAAGATTTGATATATAATTTTTTCATAATTTGTGGTTAAAATATAATTACTTGAAAGATTTTTAGGACTTGAGAGTTGAGAGAGTATTTTTTAAGAGAATTATTCATTCATATTTGAAGAATTCGTTCAACTTACATCATTTTTGGCTCGTTTCTCTTCTATACAGCCCGACGCGCTTTGGTCAAGGGTAGATCGGTCACTTCCAGTGTTAGCAATCACCAATTGCAAACCAGTCTAAAACATAGTACAAATTAAACAGAATATTGTCACAAATAATCTATCAATTTTATTCTCAATTTCAAAAAAAAAAAAGAAAAAAGAAAAACAAAATCCTTACATTTACAGTCAAATCTGCTTTGGTGGGAGGAAAGCCGAGGGAGTTGACCTCGTTCTTGACGACGAGATCAGCCGGCGGCGCCGGAGGTTTCTTCTCCGAGAAGAAGTCAACTTCGCTCGGCGGAGATGCGGCGGCGCTACTGCCGGAGTTCATGGGGTTCAATCTGGGGCTGAGATTGAACCCGAAGACGGGCTTGTTCACGAAGAAGCCAGCGCTCTGATGATGATCGGGAGGATTCTCCAGGGTCAAACCCCAACCTTTTCCCATCAGATCACAAAAAAAAAATTAAAAAAAAAAAGGATTTGATTTGATCAGAGAGGATTTTTGGGGTTTGGAAGGAAGGCAGGGGAAGGAAGGGGAAGGGGGTATAAAAGGGGGGAGAAATGACGTCGGTGGTGCGTCAGGATGGGGACGGGGGGATGTGGGGCCCGGGGAGTGGGGGGAAAGTCAAGACTGTGGTTGACTCGTTCCCGGGGAAGTGGTCCACCGGCCCGGGCGGTGCGGCGGGTCACACGTGATGAAATGGAGGAGATATGTTATTGACGTGAAGTTTTTTTTGGAATAATGTCCAATAATGATGGACATTTAGTTGAATAATGACTACTTGATAATGATCAAAGGTCCTACATTGGGAAATAAAAACATATGGTGCTATTTTGGGAAAATCATTATGTTTTAGTCCTATTTAGGTAAATTTCTCTTTTTTTTTGTTTTTTTTTAAATCTCCGGTGACCGGAGACTTAATTGGCTGGCTCTATGGCGCCTCTACCTGCCCGGAGAAAGTTTTGGACGAGACAAGAAAATTGGACCTCTTTGCCCTCCCTCCCTCCCTCCCTCTCTAGGATGTGGCCGTCGTTAATTAGTTTCAAGTTTCAACTGCGGATAGAGTTAGACCGGGTAAAAATTGACAACCTTGATTATACGAGTCTCTAGTCTACTATCTTTCTCTCAGTTTTAGTTCTCACATTATCCGAAATAAATTTTAAGATCCTTAAAGTTTATGATATTATACTTTGAGAGTACATTCCGTCTATTTAGGCATTAGGATTAAAAATTCTTTTAATTTGAAAAACTGAAAGATTTTATTTAAATTTAATAAAATAATTATTATGAATCTAAAATTTGGTATGTCTCAAACTACCAAAACTTTGAATCCTAACGATCAAATAGACAGAATGTATCCTCAAAGTAATATTACAAATTTTAAGGGTCCTAAAGTATATTCTGGATCATGTGGGCATGAGAGTTCTTAGTAGAAAATTGAGATTACCCATGTGTACATTTCAGATAATGTGGAACCTGGGAGTCATAACCAAAAAATTAATGGTATTTCAGAGTAATTTTCTGTGAAAAATACTACTCCCTCCGTCCTAATTCTTTCTTCCCATTTTGACTTTTCCCCATTTTTAATTTTTGGCTTTGACTTCAAATTTTACCATCCTTAAAACAAGATTTTTTGGAAATTTTTTTGCAATCATTCAAAATATAGAGTTAGAAGATAAATGGTGTAAATATATGAGGGTATTAATGTCATTTATCATCGTTTTTTTTCTAATGGGAAGGTAGTTTTAGGACGGAGAAAAAGAGGAAGTGGGAAGAAAGTTTTAGGACGGATGGAGTATATATTTAATAATTTCTAAAATAATTTTAAAATATTATATTTTTATATTCTATATTTATATATAAACAGAGATCTCAATGATCAAAGAGTGGCATTGGATATCGTGAAATGTCAAACGAGAAGAAGGATAGGAGACAGAGGAAGTATTATGCCTCCGGTTTGGGAATTCAAAAAATTGAATATAAAATGATTCTCTCTCCTTTTCTATATTGAAAGGGAAGAAGATCAGTTTTTGTTTTCTTTAATTACTTTTTTATATTTACTATTTTATTTATATTTTTCGACTCTAATTAAATAAGAAAATTTATTTTCTCTCTTATTTTATACCTTCTTTTATACTGTATAATGTAAGATTTGAATAATAAATTTTGTTCTCGATCGGACGAAAAGATGATAGGTACAAGAAGAACTGAAGACTATTTAGATGGCTACTCGATCATGTCTTGTATTGTATGTGTCTCACCCAGTCACACTGGACATTTCTATCTTAGTTTTGTCTCTCTCTAATTTGTCTTTGTTTTTGTCTTGTCCCTCTCCTTATTTTAAATTAGATGTAGATATGCCTTTCTTATTTACTGTACTTTCTTTTAAAATGATGAACATATAATTCATTAAATTCTTCTCATATAACAAGATTATAATTGTACATTTTTAAATAATTTTAAAATAAAATCAAAGTCAAACTATAATATTTCAGAATGAACCGACTGATATTAAATCAATCATTTTCATAAAGAGTATTTTTTAACGAAAAGTTTTTCGAATATAGTCGTGATTCTAATATATTAAATTCATGGTTTTCGATATGTAAGAACTACAGAGTATTTCATAATTAGTCTTTTAATTACTACATGTGAAAAATAATATTTTGACCAAAGATTGATTATGAAATGATTTAAAATATATAGGACCACAAATCATGGTTTTAAAAACCGGACCGGTCGGTTTGGACCGGAAATCAGCGAATCAGATGCCTAATCAGTCAACTAGTTGAACTACTGGTTCAATCACTTGAACCACTGGTTCGACCAGTGAACCAATACCTTGACTGGTTTGATCACCGGTTCTGAGAATTATGTCATAAACGCAATACTTTAGAACTGGATACCGTATATAGAAAAACTTTATTATGAAGAAATTTAACATTTATAAAATTTACTCATATTAAATTTAGATTATGTGAGAGAGTCTACGAAAAATATAGAAACCACGTCCACGATAGGACCATGCACTAACAAAACACATGTTTTTCCTCTTTTTTCGTTGAGGGATGCTAGGAGCACGCCAATGTGTACCGTAAATGTACATTATCTATTTTGTTACTATACTTTTTTATTTATTTTTTCATTTTTTATTACGTGCATAAGTGTGGTGTTGGAGGACTTGAGTATATTTGAATTACACTTTTGTAAGAATCCCAATTCCCATCTAATAATATAAGACATTTGATGCTGAATTCAATGTGGAAAATCTTAACGTCTTGAAATTGGAACACATTAGTATATTATCTCGAAGTATGTGTTCAGACCTGTAAGACTAGGAGGATGAAGTACGTCTTCTTAATAGTTCTTTTAAACAATTGCATATATGCAGGTGCAAGAATAAAGAGGACTACCTATATGAGCATGAAGTTTAGCCACTTCAAGAAGTAGAGACTTCGCTTCGATATGCTTATGAAGGATTAGGACACAAGGCTAGTAAATAATAATGTCAAGTTAGAACATTAAAGTATGTAAGCTTTTGTGTATATTATCTTCATGTATTCAAAATGAATAGCAAGGGTTCAATATAATCCTTAGTGATACCCTGATATTTGAATATTTGAAATGTGTAATGTACTAAGATGAAATTCAACCGTCATGATATTTCATTTATGCATAAATTTGTTGTTTGCTATGAATTTGTTTAATTAGTTGATCAAGGATTACACTAAAATAGGGGAAGAATGTTATATATTTTAGTGTAATTGGAAAAATTATGACCAATGGTATTCTAATAATCATCATTGAAGTTTGGTGGTATGGAGTGCACGCTTCATTAAGTTTGTTACGATAAAAATTCCATTTTATCGGGGGTTCCAAGATGCTATGTTAAAAAATTCAATTTAATTTTTATTTTCGATTTTTTCTTTAAAGGAAAATTTCTTAAGGATAGCGCCGATTTTCTAAAGAGTTTCGCGCGAAGGATCGCGTGTCTTGGATATAAGACGCGATCGCGTCTTCTCTTCTCCACGCAACTCCATATATTCCCGCAAGTCTTTGGTCGGAAAGACATTCGGAAATTCATAACAATCCTGTATTCGTTCTTGTAACTTTCGAGTTTTATCCGATTGAATTTTGAATTGAACAACTCAAAATATTTAATCTGAAAGTGTTAGACACGACTCTCGACTGATCCTCGTTATCATTATTTTCCCCAACATCCCAAAGACCCAAACTATCATAATCTATCTTTTCGGTGGCATTCAATTTCTCATCCCTAATCTAAAATTAAGCAATTTCCACCCACCAAAATGAAGGAGAGGGAAGTTGGGTTAATTATGAGTCAATGCTGTGCTAACGCGCAGACGTAAACCAATCCAAAGAAATTTCTATTTTTTTTTTTTTTTGTAAAAATTGCGTCTTCCAAAGTCCAGCAGACTTTTAAATTTCTAACTAATCACACACTTATTGCTCCGTAATTAAAGAGAAATTAAAGAAAAGGGCAAAAGTCGCCTTAGCTTCTTCGACTCAACCTTGGATCAATCAATCAATCAAAATAGGGATTAGTAGAAAATTGAGAAAACGGTGGGGGTAAGGAGTGTGACAATGTTGACGATGTTTGATCACAACAAGTCAACAACCTAATTACACTGCAAAAAAAAATAAAATAGGGGACACCCAAATGGTGACAAAACTTTGAGTTTCATGTATGATACAAATACACACTGACCATAAATGTCGATGTGCACATATGCACATATTGTCTGTGTATGTCTCTGTGATACATTAGGTTAAAATAGTGCGACTATCTTGGTGTTCCCTTAGGACAACTCGTATTACATAGTACTATGTAATTAACCAAACCGAACATGTCGTGAAGACAACTTTCGTGTCCTCCTTTCAATCCATCAATCAAATTTTACTATTGGGGACGTCGCCAAAATGGTTAGTAAATTGGCTCAGGCCATGTTCTCCCCAACTTACGTTTTTTATTTATTACTTATTCTTATTAGAATTCGATCAGATTAGACTAGACTAGACCATATCAGAAATAGATTTAAATATAACTACATTCTGATCAGATCAGATCAAACCAGACGAGATTAGATCACAACTTATTCCAATCTGATCAAAATCAATCAGATCAGGTAGAATAAAGATGGACTCATTCTCTATTGCTTACCAGAATTGGCCTTGGGGTAGGCCGGAAGGGTAGTCGCCAAGGGGCCTTTATTAAAGTTGTTTGATTATTTAATAAACTATGACTATGTTCTTTTGGATTAGAAAAATTAAATTCCAACTCCTTCCAACTTCTTCCGGTTTTATCAAGCTCCTTCCATTTTCTTTCAATGAATTAAAAAAGTATATATGATGAATGCATAATAACATTATTGTTGGGTTTTGGAACTTGGGACCTATGAGACTAGATAAAAGAGTACCGAACAAGTACTGAGTGCGTTAAGTTGCAAGAGTCAGAAAAGTATATATTAGCTTGATCGTAAAAGTGAACGTGGTTCTCCCCCTCCCGGAGAGGGCATTGATACAAAATAAAATTGGGCCTCCCGACTGTTAATCTATGGCCTAACAGGTCGGGCCCACAAGATCTAGCTGTTCGACGGACGGTGCAAACAATATGATTGCAAGCTAGGGTGACTACAAATGATGGGTGATAATAGGGCGGCTACAACTAACTGACAGACAAGTGTATCACGGTGTTCAATCTTGAGCCCATGCACTGATTGGACAAGGCATGCAGGCCACCATACCCTAGTGGGCCCTGACGCGTAGCTGGCGGCCGAGGCCAAGCACACATGCTTAGCTGTTGGAGGTCGTCTATGGAGGTCCAACCGGGTAGGTCCCGAGGCCGAGTAAGTGTTTTCGGGCTGAGAAGGGATATGTATCCAGATGCAGTTGTCACATTGAGACCTTGGTTTCTTCTTAAGTTCCGCTTAGCCGAACGCGTATGAATCATTTGATCTGTTGTGCCTTGTTGGGCCGCTCATTTTTTGGGCCGGATACCCCCATCCGGGGTATCCATCAATTATATATCCAAATTTATAAAATACCACCTCAAGCACGAACAAGAATGAATTTTTTAATCTAAAATTAGAGTTTTCTTACATATTCATTTGGATGATCATTTAATTGAGTGATTTTTCAACATTTTTATTCTTCCAACATTTTAAACTTCTTCTAGTTTGTTCAATTCCAACATTCAACTCTAAAATTCTAATCCAAACAAACATGGCCATATATGTTATGTAAAAATTACTTAACTAAAAGTTAAATTTTATCTAAATAGGGGTTCAATTTTTTTGTTTGGCATAGGGCCCAAAATCTTTTAGAGACGACACAAATTTTTATATCAATATTTAAATAAAATAAATTTAAAAAGTTTGAATTTTTTTTTCATTTTGTCCAATATACTCCCTCTGTCCCAATTTTAATTGCTTGTTTGTCTTTTTTCTCTGTCCCAAAATAAGTTGTTTGTTACTTGTTTTCGTAAACTTTTAAGAGTAAAATACATAAACTACTCCTAAAATAAGTCACTCTTCTCCACCTTGTCTTCTCATTCATCGTCACTCCTCCTAAAAAATAATGGCAATTTAGGAAAATTAACTCTATTTTTTCTTTTCTTTAAATATGACCAAATGTCAAAACAGGCGATTTAAAACAGGACGGAGAGAGTATAATTTATTTAGGAACATAGGGAGCCATATGCAAAGAGAGTCATTCTCAAAATTTCTTTATAGGTTAGTGAAATTTGGACTAAATAGAATTAAAACATAATGACTTTCTTAATGTAGGACTTAAACTTTTTTATTCTCTAAATAGGACTTAATAATGACATAGTGGAAGGAATAATGTCCAGTAATGATGGACATTTAGTTGAATAATGACTACTTGATAATGACCAAATGTCCTATATTGGGAAATAAAAACATATAGTTCTATATTGGGAAAGTCATTATGTTTTAGTCCTATTTAGGTAAATCTCTCTATAGGTTAAATGCGTCTTATTTTTTAAATTACTAAAAGGAGAGAAATTGAAAAAAAATTGAATTTTGGGATTTAAAAAAGAGTGGCGGTGGAATTGGTGTGGATTAAAAGGGAAAAGTAAACGCTCCCATTTTTTTCCCAATATTTTCCTTTGGTTTTCTGTATTTGGTCATACTCTAGAGGCTGTGTAATTGGTGTAAATAGACTTATAGAGTTACACATTTATGAGTTTAACGCGGTCGGTTTGTGACTCTATTTATTAATGGAATCTCCATTAATTTAACTGCTTTTTTAATACGCCACTCCACCCCACAAAAACAAAATGTAACTAAATTTTAAATTTCATAATTGGTCTTTTATAATAATAAAAAAATTTATGTAGTCCTTTATTATTGAATACTTACTCCGTTCTAATTTATAATGTCTGTTTACTATTTACATGGTCTAACTTCATTCACTTTCTTTATCAATTTTCATTAGTAATTTGATAAAATAAAGTAGTATTATCACTACTAGTTTTGCAGATCTTTTGATGTAGTATTTTAATATATAATCTTTATTTTTTATCTCTATACCATTAGTCATATAAAATTATCGATTTGAAAATAATTTCAGCCAAACATCGTAAACCGAAACATGCACTATAAATTGGACGGAGGGAGTACTTCTTTTATAGTTATCTTTTCACAAATAGCCCTTTATTTAATATTCTATCATGTTACTGTTAATTTGAATGCTAAAAGTATAATTTCATAATGATCATATATCTTTCTTAACATACACAATTTCAGTGACCGCTCCACATGCATTGTTGATTATTTCCACTCGCTTTCTACTACAATCATAGTCTACATATTTGGTCTTTTGTCGAAATTCTAGTCTACATTTATAATCATCATTGTTGTATTGTCCAAAAAAATGAATATAGACATAGACTATATTTAGGTTCATTCATTTTTAAAGTTTATAGATTTACATTCATTCATTTACGGGCCCTGTATTATGTTTGATCATGAGTTATGGTGTGGAATCATCACATATTATTTATGTGGTGTGGATTTTAGACTTCTTATTGAAAAATTCCTCACACTTTATTCATTTGTTTCCCTTTATAATGGCTTCATTTCCTGGTTTTAGTAATTAATGTCGGCTATCTTTTTTTAATTACTGAGTGTTTTTTTTTCTTTTTTTTTTTTGACATTTTTACTTGAATTGTGGAACATGTACATTTTTAATGGTTTCATTTTTACTTTGACATTTTCACATTTTTATTTATTACGAGCTCCGCATGCCTCTTTTCACGGATGCAATGCTTTTCCATTGAGATGATACATTTCAAAACTCCTTTAATTTACTTCTACCCACAATAATTAATTGATTTTTTTTCCAGTAAAATGGAAAGATATCACGGGCTTGGGTACCCAACTCTTGCTCGTAAAAACATGCTCGTGAAATACTCCCTCCGTTCCAAAAAGATTTACACGTTTCAAAAAAATTGCGTCTCACAATCCCTTACTCATTTCTTTAAAAAAACCTTTTTTACCCCTTACTTTTTCAAACCCTACCTATCACATCATACTTTTTTTCCTAATAATCTACACATCACATCTTACTTTTACCCATCACATCAAGGGTATTTTTGGAAAGTCAACACAAAATTATCACTCCCTTAATTTCAACTTTAGTCAAAATGAGTAACACTTTATGGGACGGAGGGAGTAGTAAAAGGTTGGGCTTAATCTCTTTCGATTGGTTGCCCTACGAGATAGTCGATGTCTGTAATGTCAATCCTATATATCTCCGTGTTGTTAAAAATAACTGCACGAAGTTCTAACATCTCAAGCCTGACTTTGTTAAAAAAGAATGATTCTCTTTCTGCTAATTAGTGCTTTTTTTTAGCAATTTCAAGAAATATGTGACCTAGTTAGCCAATATGCATATAATACGTGGATTATACTTAACAATGTATAACAAGCATATTATTTTCATGTATGCGTATGAGTTTTAAAAATACTTTAAAATACGAGTGTATTTCATATTATATGTAAAATTACTTATAATACGTATTGAATGATTGTTTTATTATTATTTTTGGAATGACAACACATTAATTTGTTCGAACTAACATTTAAACAAAATACTACTCTATATGTAGAGTTGTGTTATCATGGTCTTAAAGTTCACATGTGAAATGTTGACCTCTCGCATATTTTTACGGGCTTGTCGTTAGATCTCCCTCATTTTATAAAGTCCAAAATATTTAATCATTTCATGTCTCAAGATCCATATATTACGCAATAAGTATGAACCTAAGGACCACAAAAACATTTGGCTTGTATGTAATACTTTTTATCAATTACTTATACAACACTAAATTATTGTCAAAAATTAATATTTTATTTATCATTAGATCAATAAAGGCGCTTTCATTGAGTTAATATTAAATATTAATTACTAAATTAGTTAATTTGAAAATATTTGTTCTCTCTATCCTACAAAAAGCTTCACTCTCTTTTTGTCTATTCTAAAATAAAAAGACTTAGCTCTTTTCCTTTTCATCAATTACAAAAACTTCATTTTCTTTTAAAGAAAGGAATGAGTTCTTCACAACTCTGATCTCTTTTCTAAACAAATTCAAAGCATAAAGTTTTTTTCTAAAAATTCCATGAAAGTGAAACGATGATGTTTTTTGCTAGATGAAGCAAGTATATTTTTTCAAATATATATGTTAAATAAATAGAGATTTAAATTTGATAAATTTTAATGTAAATACTCCGTATTTCATTTGAAAGATTTTTACAATTTGTTACTCAAGGGCATTTACCTTATCATGAACTAAGGACTATCACTCGATGAATATTGTTAGATTTGATGTATATTATGTATATATATTAATATATATATATATATATATATATATATATATATATATATATATATATATATATATATGGCTGAATATATTTCTAGTCCCGGTAAAAGAGATAATTTTTCCTTTTGGCCCTATATATAATCTTTTTTCTGTTTAAGTCGTCATTATAAAAAAATCTTATTTTGATAATAGTCACACTACCTGCTTTGTAAAATACACCATGGTGAACTCCCTGCTTTGTAAAATGCACCATGACGAACAGAAATACATCATTCTTATTTTTTTCACCCATGTTCATTCTTACATTAATCAGCCCTATTTTTGAACTACCAAAATGAGAACAAGATCCTTCAACAAACATACCTAGTTGAATAAGAAATAGTAGTGCAGATTAACTTTAAACCCCCTAAAGTTAAATGGTACCATTAGATAGTCTTCTTAAAATGTTGAAGTTGTTGCCATTTGCCAAACAGATTATCCAATTATGAAGAAAACACATAGCGAAGAAGAAGAAAAAAGCAAAGTTTTTTCCCCAAAACATTCAAAACAATTTACCTCTTTACTGTCAATTTCTCAGGTATTTTACTATTAAGTTTACAGTGTAAACTGTCTAAATAGCAATATAAAAATCCACATGACAAGATGTACGCATTCTTACCCTTGTAAAAGCCGATCCGTTATTGGAAAACGAATCAATTGGACCCACGTTTAGCACAATCTTCAGCTCGGGTAAGCGCGTCTGCAAGAACATCGATCGTCCAGTTCTTCACATCCTCCTGCACAAGGGCACCCGCCATTAATGGAAGCAAAACAGCATCTCAAGCATTCATGTCACCGTCCCAAATGCAAGGGACACACAAAGAAAACACCTCAGAATTACACTCTCTTGCAGAGGACAGCAAAAAGAGTGAATGAAAGAACATGATTCCAAGAGTGGAAAAATCTTGGAAGGACAAGGTGAAATGTAATGGAACATTACCAAATGCAAGGGTTCGCCCGTCCTTATTCGGGCATTTGGACGAGCAAACCTTGATTCAAATGGAGTCCTTGGACGGATGTCTTGAATCGCGTCCCATTCCTCGCGGGTCAGCATTCTCACACTCCCTTGACCTTCTGGTGCATCATTGATCTGCTGTTCTATCCTCTCTTGAGACTTTGAGTCATCATACTATAAAAAAAACACGAACAAAATAAGAGTACACACAATAGAAGCAAACAAACACAAACTAAAAACTCAAAGAGAACACACAAGCTATGGACAAGACATAACTAGAAATGAGATTCTTATGAGCACTCATAACTATTGGGATTTTTAGGGTTCATTTAGGCTACACAAACACAGAAAGAAGGAAAAAAAACAGCAAACAAAATAAATTTCTAGAAACAATCTCGTCGAATTTGGATTTTCAGACATACCATCATCATGAGCTTTGCTATAAGTGCAGTCCCAACAACGGTGAGTATCATTGGCATGGTGGGAGTGTCTAGCCATGCCAATGATTCCCTCACCTCCACAAAGGTTTCGTTCTTGCGATAATTCTTGTCTTTCCTCTTTCTTTCAAGTTCTGCGACCCTTTTCTTCAAGGTCTCGCTGGGTCCGTCGTGCGACTTTGTGTGCAATTGTCTCCAAAACCCATGCACCGTTCTACGAATCCCATTCATTCTTCAACAAGCAGAAGCAAACCGAATTCTAACGGATTTGAATGCGAATCGGAAATGAAGAATTTGTTCCTGAGAATTTCATCGAGCACCTTCACTGCAATACCTAGGTCAATTTAACGAAATCGAAGAACAACATTACAACAATTCCAAGAAGGAGACCATTAGAAATGCATTAAAACCTTCTATAACAAATGCATCTTTTAAGGCAAAGAAAAGATAACCATTAGAAAAGAATAATCCGTATTTTAGTAAATTTTTAACCAAAAATTAAAAATCATAAGGCTCCGTAATCCATTTATATCTTTTTTGGGCAAAGAAAATCTACTACAATCAATTAAATAAACAACATCATTCCATACAAAAAAGTAGCAAAATAGAACAGATAAAATAAAATAACACATAAACCTGATTTTTAGACCAAAAGAGCAAGAAATTTAATTTCTTAAGGAAAAAAAAAGGACCTGAGCAGAGGGGCGAGGCGAGGAGTCTCTGAGAAGTGAGAGGACGTGCGCATCTAGGGTAGTGAGGCCTGAAGGCTTTCCGGCGTGGCGGCGCGCGCGGTGTGCTGCTCTGCCGGCGTGGAAGGGCTGCGGCGGTTAGAGTCTGATGAGAGGCACTAGGCACAGTGGCAGAATCGCACGGAGGCAAAAGCCCAATAGTTTTTGGGTTTGGACTTTTTTTAGAGTACCACCAATGACAACTAAAATGACTACTAAAGAAACGAAAAAGTGACACATTTCAATTAATAAAAATTAGTCTAATCTACAAGTGAATAGAAAGACATGTCATGCAGTATCAATTCATTGTTTTTGTTAACTTTTTACATTTTTTGACGTATTTTAATTATAAAAAATGCTTTATTTATCTTTTTTAAAATAGATGTACTCATTTTTTTTAAAAAAAAAAGCTTCTTTAGTTTCTTCTACAAAAAACTAAAAAAAACGACTTGAAGGATGTCTCGTGCCTCACACACTTACGGAGAAGACTCGCAATGCAAATGGAAAACACAATTGACATGGCAAGCGTGACAGGCATATGCTTCGCTCACTGCCCATGCTCTTAACACATAATTTTTCATATTTAATCTTCTATTATTAAATATTACGTCTGTGATTCTTCTTTTATATGTATCTTTTCGTATTTAGTCTTATTTAATTTTCTGTCATATTAGTGTTAAATTGAAGACTAAAAATGTAGTTTCACATTGACCACATGTCCAATGATACGTTTTGATATTCGTTTGATAGACAAGACAATAATAATGACTATGATTGTGGAGTATGGTTTTAACCAGAGACGACATCTGTAAACTATGAATGTAGTGAACTATGCATGATTCTAGTTGACAAACGACACATCAGTAGTGAGCTATTACGTTGACACTGACAAGAAGAATATGTGATCATTCTAAAACTATACTTTTAACGCTCAATTTAACATCAACATAACTGAAGTTAAAAAGAAAACTAAATATGAAAAGGTACTCATAAAAGGATTGCATGCTAAATACTTGATAACAGACTAAATATGGAAAAACCCCTGTTGATTTTAAAACTTTCAACATTATTTAACAATGTTTTTAAATTTTAAAATTCAAAACGTAAATTTTGTTGCAGAACAAAGAAAATATAGCCTAAAAAATTGGCCTTTTATGATTTTGGACTTTTTGCCGCAAATGCACCTATTGAACTCCTCTATAGCCGGAGTTAGCAAAGGCCTTTGCGAGTATTAGGTACATGTTCCACTCTTTGTCATCAATCTGATATTAAAATCTAATTTATTTTCTCTCAGAGACTGTCCTGGCCTGACCTGAGAGGACCTTCCGGATGGGGATCATCCTCTATGGCCGGAGTCCTTCACCATCGTATTGATTCGTAATTCTCATCATCATAAAATTGTATCTTGTGAAGAAACATATTCATTCTCCTAAAATAATACGTACGTGCTCCATATATAAGACTAAAATTTCATATGCTAAATTGAAATATTCTGTACAAAATCGTCACAAATTAAATAACCTCTTCCTATGCATTCTTGCTCCCTATGATATAAACAAACCAAACACGCCCCCCGAAGAAAAAAATGAAGAAGACGAGAACAGTTAGTTGCAATAATAAAAGAATAAAAAGTATATTCAGAAAAGAAAAGGTAAAAGAGAATGGCGAAGTATCGGCTACAGTTTAGAGTCATTTGTTTTTTTATTATTTAAATTATGACAAATTCATATCCCACAAAATTAAAACCCCCCAAGAAATCAATCAAAATTCAAAAGTAATTAATTGATTAATTATAGATCGTATTTATATATACATACATATATAGATCGACCGATCGAGATGAAGTCGTCAGCGTCGGCGTCACAGCATAAGCATGCGAGAAACAACGGCGGCTGGGGCGGGGGCGGCACGGCGAAGAAGACGGTGGCGACGGCGGTGATGGGCGTCGTGTGCGTAATTGGGGCAGGCTACGTGATGGTCGGACAGCCTCTGTATTGGCTCCTCACCGACGCATTCTCTCATTGCCCTCCATGCCTCTGTCGTTGTCCTCTTCAACCTCTCCTTTCCCTCCCAATTGGTATTCTACATTTCTCAGTCACCCTCATAAAAAATTTCTGTTCTGATTTTTTTAGTTAAATACTGACACTCTTTTATCATAAATTGTGAAAAAAAAATATTTAATTATATTTATAATATAAGTTCAATATAATTAAGTTCATCTTAAGATATAGTTTTGTTATATCAAATTTTATATTATTAATTTATTTAAATTATATTTAATTTGTGATTAAAGAGACAAAGAGTGTCAGTGTTTAACAAAAAATCAAAACATGAAAAATCCCTCTATAATTTATTTATTTATTTGTTCAATTTGATTTTTTAAATTAGGTGGGATGGACCTCTATAATCGATTATTTTCAATTTATATTATATACGGAGTATTAATATAACAAAACAAAATTCAGAAAATTCACAAAAATATTTAAGTTTATTCAACTTGAATCGAAAAAATCAAAACTAAATGAATACATTAGAACAAAGGTATTATGTTGTTAAATATTATAAAAATATGATACGGAGAATATTTCAAAGTAGCCTTAATCATATTAAATTTGCAATATACGAATTATACGTTACCTACAAAATACAGCCAAAGTTCTAAATTTTGAGTTAAAAAAATCAAACATGCAATTTAATTGAAACAATGGAATATTATATTTTTAGTACTAGTAGAGTACATTTTAACCATAAGTATAATTGATGGTGTACCTTAATTGAGATCAGGTCGGGATTGTGATTCGAACTTCTAAACTAATCACCAATCTAAAACATAGAGTCAGGAATAAAGTGTTGGTCAAATCATGCATAATTTAATTGTCATTACTATTGTAATAGTGAGAGAGTACAGGAGGAAGACATCACAAGGCTAATGTAAATATTCTTATTCCCAATTTACATATTTTTGTGCTACTAAACAGCAAAATTGGAATTATTGTCTTCAATTCTAGTTTCAAAGTTCAAAATATTATTTTATCCAATTAATATACAATATATAGTTTATTTAAGTATAAGTCAAAGATTAAAAAAGATTGACTATGAAAATTCAAAACTGAACAAATACTAAAAGACGAAGATAATATAACTTTTATTTTTTAATTCTACCCCAATTTTCAAGTACATTTATTTAAAAATTACTGCAGTCAAATATCATAAGTACTAAACAACATGCAACTTAAAATGAGACAGAGGGAATAAATTTTATTTTTATATTTTTTGCCAATAAGTAAATAAATTAAATTGAAATTAAATTCAGTCAAATATCTTAAAGGAGGATAATTTCGGCCTCCTAATGGCGGGAGTTGATGAGCCTTAGTTTGAGCTGTAAGTAGGCCTAGGTGAAATATGGGACTAGGGTCACTGATTTTTCAAGGTCCTAAGCTTTTTAAAACATATATTATGCATTTATGCTTATCATATATTGATAATTGTAAGTCAATCAAAAACTCAACCCCATTCAAATGCAAATATCTTGTTGGCCAAATATTATTTTTTATGGTTATTGTCTATCTCACTCTCCACTAGAAACCCCCTTAACTAATTTTCTTGCTTTTTTGGCAGGTTGCATGGAGTATCACCCAGGGGTGGGGGAGAAAAACCTAACCAAAACCAGACAACTGGTAAAGGAACTGGAGGCAAGAGAAGGGGAAATTCAAGGGATACAACAGAAAGCAGACCAGAAACTGTTGGAGACAAAGAAGTTGACTTCTCAGTACCAGAAAGAGGCAGAAAAGTGCACTTCTGGAATGGAAACCTGCGAGGAGGCCAGGGAGAAAGCCAAAGCGGCTCTGGAGGCGCAGCGAGGGGTTAGCTCAATGTGGGAGCTTAGGGCTCGCCATCAAGGCTGGAAAGATAAAACCTTTGAAAACTAACCTTCAAAGCGTCAAAACGGCTCTTCAAGGTGATGATCATGAAGCAGCAACCATGGCTGCCTTCTGATTCATTTGCTTGAACCTGTAATCAATCACAGGGGTTTGTTAAAACACTCAAAACTAGAATGGAAGACTTTAAGAAAACATTTTACCCATTTTTCTTCTTATAAATCTTGACTGTTACAGTTGAAGGTACACCTGGAATGGAAATTTTTATTGCAACTATGCTATAGTATAGCCAGAGCTTGTAACCTTGATTCTATATGAATAATACAATGTATATGAATAATACAATGTGAGTCAAGATTTGCTTCTAACATGTCTAGTGTAAGTCAATCAACAATGTCATCATCATGTTGTGTATGTTAGCGAATTGAGCACAAGTCGTGGGCATCTCAATGAATGCACATGGAAGCATGTATATATAAGCAGCGGACGCGGTCGTGATGAAAAATCATGGTGGTGGGCCCTTGGAAGTGGACCCATCAAGCGGACCACCCACTTCGCTCAAAAGGCGCATCCCCGCTGCCCGAGAAAATTTCCTTGCAAATAGAAAGCAGGGGACGCGTTTTGAATTGTTACTGCACCACTCTGTTCGGGCCTCAGTCTTGAAGTAAACATATCTGATGTCCTGTTACACAAATTTGTTAGCACTATAAATTTGTGCAATATAAAAAAATTGCAAAGATTTGATTCTTTTAGGGACAAAAGTAGTTCAGAACCTTTATTTTATTAATTTTTTCAGGCTCTGCATCTGCATAAGTAAACCTTTTAGGATGCCAAGCCCCCTTTTCCATATTGGATGATGATTGGTTCCATACTGTGTAAGTTATTGTTCTCCGCTCCAGTTCAGCTCCAACTCCGTGCATCTGCGACCAAAATACACGACAATGAACTCTATTGTGTGTGTGTGACTTTTGGGGCATATATGAACGGATAAACACCAAATCGAAACAAATATTCCCTTTCCGTCACATTTCTCACCAAAAACGATATGATAAGCAGAAACTCCTTCACAAAGAATCAAGTTTGTAGTACTGAATTCAGTATCACAAACAAGAAACTTTTTTTTCTGGGACAAAGGGAGCATAAAATACAAACTTTAGAAATAGATATTGATAAATCAATGCATTAATTATTGCTCACTTCAAGTAATGTCTGCACATAGTGTTCATCAGGGATACAGTTGTGCTGCTTTTGAAGGATCTGCAAGATGTACTCTTAAGTTAGGAAACAATCAAACTAAAAGCTTTAGCAGTGTTTCTTTGATTAAAATGTCTGATGGGAGAAAAGAAAATATCATAGCAATAAAACCATCACTTGGACAGAGTAGATAAAAAATGACTTACAAGATTCCGACTCTTCAGACTGGCATCTATTGGTGGGCGCCTCTAAAGGGTGAAAAAGTTATAACGTCAGCAATAAAGACAATATCAAGCACGTTAATCCACATTGAAATCAGAAATCGTCACTTCAGAATTTCAGAGAAACAGTCTACGCATCATGGACCTTACAATACTTCCTGAAAACTGGTAATACAACTTCATCATCTGCAACTATCTCAGCATGTTCTCGAACCAAAGCGATCCACTGGAATAGAAGACAGCACATTAAAATTGTTCGGTATGCCTACAGCAAACTATCCTACATTTAACGATGTACATTACTGATGCTTTAGGAACTTTACTTGTGATCCTTTCCTCCATTTGGTCTTTGGTATATATGGCTTCATCTTTGGGTTATAGCGGCTTTCTTTTCCATTTACATCCAAAAAACTAAGACAGAAACACAAGACTCAAATAAATTACCAACCAATAATGCACAAGTTTTTTTAGGGTTGTAACATGAAATTTCATCCATTTTTTACCTGTCCACGAAACTCCTCGGAGAGTCCATCAAATATTTGTATACATAGCTGAAGTTGTATAAAGGGACACAGCTGCGAGTATGAAGCGCAATAACTTCAGGTGATTTATCTTACTTCAAATGATTGAAAGATGGTAAAGTGGGCAACAAATACAAAATAAAAATATGGCCAAACATGTCTTTTTTGTAAGTTAAAAGTATTACAAACAAGTCTTCTTCTTCTTTTTCGAAGAGAGAGAGTAATAATAAAATGCCATGGGAAAACTAAAAATGTGGAAGTTCTAAGTTGATAGATTATACGGAGTATAAGACATCCCATAGCTTTTTTGTCCATATATGTTAAATGAAAGCTTTTTAATTTGAAATTACTTTTATAGAAAAAAAATAGCGAATCTATTGATAATAGCTTGTTTCCTTGAGATTCTATGGGATGGTGGGAAAGTCAAGCATGGGAAATGGCAAGTTAAAATGAATGCCAGAAACATTGCACATTCAAATTGATAGATCCAGGAATGCAAACGAGTGATGTTGCAAAACTTTTCCACAGTATACTGCATTAACCATTTGATTCATGCTTCATGTTCAAATTCATGGGTTATTGAAGGAAATATATAGAAGCTCACAAACTGCAAGCGCGTCTTTTTTTTAGACCGTATTTTCAATTTTTTCTTCTTTTGTTAAAGAATTTTAATCCAATGTTCTTAATAGAGAAGCGCCAACCTGTCTGACAAGAGAACAAATCTTTGATTGGCGGGATCTTCTAGAGCTTCTTCAAGTAATAACCTCTCGGCTTCAATCATGCTTGATTCTCCCCAAGCTACCTACACACTCCCACAACATTAGTCAAAGAACGCATTTTTATCACACAGTGAGACAGTATAAATGTGGATCAGAATTCTTCAAATCTTTATAACTCAAACACTTGCATCTAAGGTTGAGAACGAACGGGTAAGTATTTCAAACTATTTCAAAAAACAATTGCAAGTTCAAAACCAGCCGAGGAGTTGAATCTAATATCAGATAAACATTACATAACATCAAAAAATTACCATGATACTGTTTTTCAGCTGCCTGTTATAAAAGAAAGGGGAAGTTGTAGTAGACTGATCAAATACAAAGCCTGGCTTGGAATGTATGTATATAGAGAAATTGGCAGGATCAATATCCTGCAGACATCAAGAACATCAATCAGCTTTCTTTGCCCAACTTTCCCAAATATCAAAACAAGGGCAAGCAACAGATTCCCTCAAACTTTGACAACTCTGATTACAATTGTTGCTCCAATTACTAGCAAAATTGAAATCAATCGGCAGACCTGAAAGAAGCTTCTCCAAACAAAATCGAGCGGCAAATTGCTCCGAGCTAGAAAAAGGAAAGCGACCTTCGGATTGCCGGAGAAATTGTCGGCGAGAGATCTGTTTGGCTTCCGAGGGAATGAAAGCGATGCTTCGGAGGCAGGGATTAGGCCGTCGGAATCCGAGAGAAAGAAGAGATGTATCCGGAGGAACACAAGGACACAGAGGGCCAAAGAGACGGCGATCGCCAGCTTCCATCCGGACCTCATCAGATGGCGCGCCGATAAGGGCGGCGACGCCATTGCCGGCGCCTTCTTCGCCATACTTGCAGAAGCTCCTCCTCCTCCTCCTCTTCGTCTTCCGGTAATTCAAATTGCGGACATTGAGGATTGGGTCTGGGCCAGTTTATATATATACAGAGGTTTATGGAGAGAGGAGAAGGGAGAAATGTGTGCGCCGTGCAATCTTTCTGTTTCCGGCGATGGCGAAGGCTATATTTATATGTCTGCGGCGTCGTTTCCTTCTTCATTTTCCTCAGCTGGCCAGGGAAATAAGGACTAAACTTTTTTATCTAATGTTTTTGTCAAATTCTATATTCAAAATTGTAAAAAATTAGATAAATAGGAGTAATAATAATACTCTTGTCCAAAATCCAAAATCAAAATTAATTTGGGAGTTTAAATTAAAGGGGGTGTAGGGTATACCAAGGGTTAGTGGGGAGAACCGTCAATTTTACAAACGGAACACCAGAGCACTTTTGGGATATGTCATGACACGTGGTTCCAATGTCATGGAAACATCTCCATTATAAATTTAGAGTAAAAATGTATATTTCTACTTGAATCCACTCTATTCTAATGGCCAAAAATCCAAAACATTAGACGTAGTACAGAGTAGATGATATACGAATGATGGATGAATCATATCATATGAGGGGTGAAGACTTTTTCATTCATCACCCGACCCGTTTGTATTTGTTAAAAAATACTCTATCTAAAAACTTTATTGTCGAGCAGTATAATTGTAACTATCTCAAATGGGAAGGTACATGTTCAAACCTGATGTAGAATATTATGAAAGAAATACTCTATCTAAAAAAACATAAGCATATGTCCTTTGAGTTAAGGAATTTGTCCAATATTCCATAGTCGTCTAGTTGAGAGAGTTTATTCTATTCAACTTATTATTATTAGTTACTTCCTCTGTCTCATAATCTCTTTTCTATTTTGATTCTTTTTAGTTAAACAGTGACATCCTTTTACCATAAATAAAATATAATTTAAATAAACAAATATTAAATAAATTTGATATATTAAAATTATATCTTAACATGAACCTAATTATATTAAATTTACATCATAATCAAATATACTTTTTCCACTAAAAAGTCAAAACAATAATGAGTTTTTGGGACGGGGGAGTATTATTTATCCTTACTGGAATCAGATCAGATTACAGTAGTTCAGATCAGACAAGATCAGATTAGAAATAACTTTATATATAATTACAATAAGTTAAAACCAGATCAAATCACATCAGAACATTCTGATAAGATGAAAACCATTTAGTACAACTTCAAGACGACGCCCAATGTCTCAATTTAGTAATCCTCTTTTATATACTTCTTTCATCCTAAAATGATTTATTTTTTATTACAGTCTCTAGATAACTTTTTTTGTTTTATATTTTCATTATTGACTATCTGCTAAAATAAAATATTCTTATTACCTCTTATTTTATAAAACCTTCGATATATAGTTTTTAAATACAAAATATTTATTTTTTATTTCTATATTAATTTTTAAATAAAATTATTTTAAAAGTTAAAGGATTTTACAAGTTAAACAATGTAATTCATTTAGGAACGAAGGAAGTATTAAAGATGAAGTTAATTAGCTAATGAAAATTTTATTGAACTCCTAATTTTATTTATCGCCTTATGAGAATTTCAAGTACTTTTTATTGTCAAAACAATAATTTTTTTATTGCTATCACTATTTTGTTCTTTATGACATTATAATAAAATGATATTAGTGATTTGAACAATTAATATTAATTTTACCCGCTCGTTTTATGTGTTACACACGTAGACGATGGAAAAATCATGTGAAAAATAGTGAGTGGGTGGTGGATGAGGGTGAAATTTCACTTGAATCTAACTTGATCCATTGACATTCCTAATTTGGCTTAAGCCGAAAATTTGATGTTTAGACCTCTTGGAGCTCATTGTGACACTTTTGAGTGTGTGGTTTGAGTTGATTTTCAGCATGTGTGCCATTTGAACTATGTTTCGTAATACTTTTTCTAGCTTCATTTGGGTTACTTATGATGTTCAGACACTTCAGTTGATGGTGCTTTGTATCGTTCGAGAGATTTTAGTCGAAGCTTTCGTGCAGATCATATGCTGATTTTTGTGCCGCCAGAATAGTTCCGGACATGACCTAGATATCCAACTCGATGTAATCCGTACCTGAGTCTAACCTGATAAACTGATTTGTCAACTCTAAACGGTTCATCTTAATTAAATTAACAAAAAATGCTTGAAATCACCAAGGTATACCCTAAGATGTACACCAGTCACCTCTTCATCTCATTTTTTGGTGTGAATAAAAAAATAAAAGACTAAAAAATCTGCAATTATAAAAAAATAATAAGGTACAATCTGGGTATAACTCTGACATTGCTTTTATAACGTGATCGATTTCATGTTGATTTAAACCTTGAAATTAATGCCAAATCCGCCAAAAAAATAAAGTTGGTACGCGTCATGTTTGAAACGTTTGTTGATCATATAAGAGTATGCATCATGATACATCACTTGCAGTTGAATCAAATTAAAAATTGCGTGAACATTTTATATAACACAATTTGGACCCCTCATTAACAATATCGTCTATTGCTTCGTTCACCCCAAACAAAAGTGTTTTGGGTTGTAAATGCACATATTTGGCCATTTCTTTCAATTTTTTATTGCCAGAGTATCTCAAATATTGTAAAGATCCGTTTGATGAACACGTGAAATATGAGTTCTGATAACTCCCGATACGTGAACATTATGAACAAGCCATTGACACGAATCAATTATGATCTTCTCCATTACTAGTACAAGTTTTGGTTGATATCACCTTGTAGACAAATTTAGTACAAATTTCTCTACCACCACTAAAATTGTGATTATTATTTTTTTAAATGTGAGAAAGTTTTAAACTACTAACGAATTTTTAGGATGAAAAGTATTCCATTGGTGAGGGGGGGAAAAATTGCACATGATTTTTTTTGTCACCCATTTAGACCAATTATATTATTTATATTCCAGCCGCATGTAAATTTTTTGGAGTGCGTAAGTTTTTTTTTACTGTACCATGAAAATATTTCTTTTACTTGTGTAGTTTTTTAAGGATTGAAAAGTTGTCTTTGACTGCTCAAAGAAGTCCATTAAGGAAATAAGGCTTTGTTTTGACCAAAATATACACGGTTCATCCTCATTTAAACAAAAGAAATAAATAAATAATACTTCTCCATCCCGAAATAAACACAAGTATTATCAAATCCAGACCGGACCAACCACTCAGACCGGTCAAATCGGGAATTGGCCACCAAACCCTCCACAACTCAAGAAAACCCCATAATTTTTCTCGTTTATAGCCGGGTCCAAGTTTAATATCATTTGAAATAAAGTTTCATAATTGACGGGACACGGGTATTAATAAAAAATGAAAATAGGAGTGACCCAAGTAAATGCTGAACTTTTTTTTTCTTTTATCACCACAATCCAACTGATGCAATTAATAGGCAAAAAACTGATTGATCAGACAGATAAACAAACTAATTTAGGAATGTAATTTCTCAAATTAAATTAGTTTTACTTTGTCAATTCTTGTGGGGGCAAGACCATTCCTAGACATTGTAACAAGTACTGTCAATATTTTAAAATGTTGCCCCATCAGATTCAAAGATTTTCTTCTAAAGGGAGTGACAAAAATACATTGAAGACATAATATAGTCGAACTATTGCCCGACCACATTGGCCTTCTTGGGGGCCTCTACAACGACATTCAAGACTTTACCAGGAACATAAATCCTTTTTCTAACAGTAATCCCATCAAGAAACCTGGACAACTTGGAGTCAAGTGAAGCTAACCTGAAAGCATCTTCTTCGGAGCATCCTTCTTCGACCTCTATGGTCCCCCTCGTCTTCCCATTGATTTGGACCGCGAGAACCAATGTGGCGTCCTTCAAGTAAGCAGGATCAGCCTAAGGAACCAAGCACAAGGAGGCAGAGATTAAGGAGAATTAGAGACAAAGATTTGATGGGGTTTCAAGAACAACGTTCCATCTTACAAGATTGGCATAGACAATGTCTTGTATATTGATTTGTATTGTATTGGTTTGTTTTTTTTTTCTCCATCCGTCTCCAAATCGACTATACACTTTATTTTTGGATGAGGAGCCCAATCTTAATGGAGAGAAGATAATACCTTAGGGAAAGGTTCATATGCCAAAGATTCGGTGTGTCCCAGGCGACACCAGAGCTCCTCAGACATGTGAGGCGCATATGGTGAAAGAAGCAGAACAAATGGTTCAATTACTGACAATGGGAGTCTGTCCCACTGAAATTGACAAAAAAGTTAATAAGATGCTTCTTCATATAGGTGTTAATGGCAAATAGGAAGGCAGTCAAAACCTTATATGCAATGTTAATGAACTCCATCATTGCAGAAATTCCGGTGTTGAACCGTGTTCCTTCAATTTCTTCTGTTACCTGCCAAAATAACCAATCTTGCCAAACTGGTCACTTGAAGGGAAATTTCTTGTTTAAAGAAATTAATATACGAAGCTTTAGGAAAAGTATAATTCATAACTAGAATACTTAATAACCTTTTCAATGGTGCGATGGAGACAACGGTACTGATCTATTGTGGGCTTCTCATTGACAGTTGCAGTTCCATCCTGAAATGTACCATTGGGTAAAGGTGGGCCGATTATCAATCTCCAAACTCTTGCTAGAAAACGATGAACACCTTCAATGCCACTTGTACTCCACTGTTTTGACTCTCTATTACACAGAAATAAAGCTAGATCATTAAATTTTAGCAAAAAAGATGGCAAAGTAATTCTAAATAACTACAAAATTTCTCTACTAATTAAGTACCCGTCCTGTACCAATTTTTTTTTATAATCAGCCAAAAATATTACCAAACACTAGTTTATTTGATTTTTTAAAGGAGTGTATGAAGTACTGTACTTTTTTTCTTGAAGTTCCTCAAATGAATGAAAATGATAAGTTTGTTTGTACACTTATTTTCAAGTATAGCCATAATTATTCTAGTAATAAAATATACTCCGTATTTTAATTATTTTGATATGGAACTTGATATGGCGCAATGGCGTCGTTTGATCCATGTAGCCGACCCCACCTAGTGAGATAAGGCTTGGTTGTGCTTATTTTTTGAATTATTATATTAAATCACCAAGTTCAGCCAAATTCACCTTTACATTTAGCAAATTGACCATGAAAAAACAAAAGAAAATATTGAGGACAGTGCAAACTGAAGAAAGTGGAAACTACCTCAATGGCCCCATAAACATTTCATACAAGCGAAGAGAATCCGCACCATACTCTAAAACAACATCATCTGGATTTATGACATTTCCCCTGCTCTTACTCATCTTGTGAGCTCGGGCAATCAATTGTATACTTGGATCATCTTTAAACACAAATGAACTTCCAGATTTTATGACCTGCCTCATCAAAAATTAGATTTTTTCCCCTAAAAAATCAACTACTCCCTCCATTCAATATTAACAATCCATTTTGCTTTGTGTCAAGATTTTACCAACAATATCTCCTAAAATATATAAGAAAAATATACAAGAGAATATAATAAAAATATTTGTCGATAGAAATATTATGGGGCAAATTTTATAACTAAATTCATTGTATATTTTTGTATATTGTTTGTCAAAGTTTGACTCACAAAAACAAAACATACAGTTAAAAAAGGATGGAGAAAGCTTAAAAAGGAGTTGCCAAAAATTTGAGAAATGAAATGGGTGAATAGAAAAAGTATAAGCAAAAAAATGTACCTTCTCTTCTGGTATTCTCTCTTGATTACACTCAGTCAAATCATCAACTAACTCTGCTGATATGAAGTTGCCGTCGGAGTCTTTGCATGCAATGTATTGAACCTGTGACACACATTGTTTCATTTTGAGAACAAACAACTAAATACTAATGCTTAGACCTTGAAAATGAGACAGTTGCATGGAAGATAAAATATACATACTTCACCTAGGATGATACCCTGGTTTATGACACATTTAAAGGGTTCTGTTGTTGAGACTACACCAATGTCATAGAGAACCTACAACAACGAACACATCGAGATACAACACTTTGTAAAGGCTAAAATAATGCATTGACCTTCAGAAAGTATACTTTGATTCTTCATAGCTCATACCTTGTGCCAAAACCTGGCATAAAGTAAATGAAGAACAGCATGTTCTGCACCACCAACATATACATCAACAGGGCTCCAATACCTGCACAAAGGATCACATCGAAATACTTAAAGATTTGGATAACGAAGTAGAACTCACCAAAATGAAACAATATTAAGCATGGCGTGCAGGCACACACATACACACATCTCTCACTCTCACTAATTCATTTACAGCATGCCTAGACAAAACCGGCAACTCACTTTTCTTTTTCCTTATCAACCAAAGCACCAGAATTTCTTGGGTCTATAAATCTTAGATAGTACCTGCAATGAATAGGAAAAACAATACAGCCAGATAGCTTTCTGCCCAGCATACAATACAAACCTGTGAATATGCTAAAATATTGGTCTATGTGATTCAACTTACGAAGACCATGTCATCCAACACTCCAACCTAAACAAGTAAGGGCTAGTTCTTTTTGCTTAGATAAAACATCTAATTTACAATAAAGTTTGTCACGTTGCTCCGATGCAATTTGAACCACCTCTTCCCTAGATGATATTGCTCTTCTCTCTTTTTTTAACTGTAATATATTATCATCACGCTATATTTAAGGTCTGTTTGGAATTCAAAAGATGCTAGGGATTGTAGGGAAAGATAATGCGGAGGAAAATAGAGTTGAAAGTTAGAATTAAAGAAACTGAGAGAAAAAATGCTTCAAACTCAATAAATCGGGTTTAGGTACTTGTTCAAAATCAACAACAACAACATCCCAGTTGAATCCCACTACAGTAGGGTCTGGGGAGGGTGTGTGTACGCAGACCTTGCCCCTACTCGGAAGTAGGGAGGCTGTTTCCAAGAGACCCCCGGCTCAATACTTGTTCAAAATCATTTTATTCAAATACTTCAATAAGTGAGAAAGAAATCTGTGTGTGTAAGATTAAAAAACAAATTGAATTTTTGTTGCGTTTTCTCCAGGGCAAAACGTAACATCTACAAAACCATTTTCCTTAGTCTTTTTCTTTTCACATCCATTTTCCTAAATCCAAACATCGGCAGAATTCTATGTTGGGGAGTCAATGAAGAAGATAACAATATCAAGTAGGTACAATAGAGCAAACCAGGTTAATATTAGCTTCGAGAAAACCCGTTACCAGCAAGAACCAGCCCATTGTGGCATAGTATTAGTTTCACGTCTGGCAGGCTTCCCAGACAAATGATCATAAGCTTTAACCTGGAAAAAAAATCAGACGTGTCTGAGTAACTGACATCAAGATCACAACTCTATGCCTCCATTTCAAGAAGAACAGCTTTTGCAACCCTATAGCTGCAGAAGTTGGGAGCTAAAATATCCCTGACAAATTGAGAATACTTATTTGTCTCGATATTTCAATTGAAACCGGAAATTCCCTAATCTATGGAATGACGCTAATTTTCTAAAATAAAAAAAAAAGTAACAGCTTTTGGTTAAGTGAATAAATGGTTGCCTAATCTGACCTCATCACCCAAAACTTGGGGAAAGAATATCAGGGTCAGGAGTACAAAGTACAAACCCACCATAGATTGAAAAGGAGACAAGTCTACACATACCCAAGATGGCGCTTTTGAAAGGGGAGGTTCGCCGGTTCCGGTGGGAGTAAAATCATTGAGCTCAGGAAGGACAAGAGGCAACTCTGTCTCGGGAACCGGAACACATTCTCCGGATTCATCAAGAAAAACAACAGGAATAGGCTCTCCCCAATAACGTTGTCTAGCAAAAAGCCAGTCCCTTAGCTTGTAATTTACCTGCAGCAAGATAATAAGTAAACACTCATCTCGATGACAAAACTCAATGGGCCCCTTAAAGTTTAAGTGTCATGTAGTGTAAAAATTAAGATCTAATACAAAACCTGTATCTTTCCATGTCCACTTTTCTCGAGCCACTCAATGACTTTGGATGCTGCTAGTTTGCTAGACAAACAATTGATGTCAAGCCCTGTTGACAAACTTGATGAATTGATCATTCTTCCATCTCCTGTATAAGGTTTCTCAAGATTTCTGAGAGTATCATCAAAGGGCATGACAACCCAAGAAATTGGAATACTGTGCTTTAGTGCAAATTTGTGGTCACGTGTATCATGAGCAGGCACAGCCATTATTGCTCCAGTTCCGTAGCTGGAAGACAGATTATAACAGTCAGATTCAATAGAATTTACGGTCACAAAGAGTGTCTAGAATGGGACAATAGATGCTTAGTCGGCCAGCATGATATACTATAGGGGATACAGATGTATATTAATTACTGTCCCAAAAAATTATCATATTCTGAAACGTAGTATAGACCCCAAAAAAGAGTCCTATTTCAATCAAAGAAGCTAGTTTTTATTGAATGCAATGTAATTTTTCAAAGAAAAATGTAAAGAACAAGTATATGTGTTATATCTTTTTTGGTACAATGTTATACTCCCTCCCAGAGTATTCATCCACTTAAACTTTTTCAATAAAACTTGACAAACTTTAATAATCAATGACATTAAATTTTTTGAAACTACAAATAAATTTTTATTTGTAATCAGGAACTATATTCAAGAGTTGTACCTTACAAAAATTTAAAGTTGCACATTGACAAATTTAAAGTGGCGCCTTGAAAACACAAGACTTTTTGGGACAAAGTAAATGCTATGTACAGAAGATCTTCCTAAAGGTTTAAAAATGGCATAACCTTGAAACAATGAGAAAACAAACAAACCTTCCCAAGACATAGTCAGCAACCCAAATTGGAATAGCTTTCCCATTAGCTGGATTTCTTGCAAAGGAACCCGTAAAAACACCTGTTTTTTCTTTTTGGAGATCAGTTCTCTCAAGGTCACTCTTTCTTGAGGAAAGTTCTACGTACAGCTCCACCTGTGCTTAAAAGAGGTTACATCTCAAAAAACCGAGCTCTGGAAACTACAGATCATAGCCCCAGAAACAGCCACCAGAAAATTGAAAACCACTTTTTCATGGTGCGTAAATTGGATGTTTTGTTTTAGAAAAAGATACTCCTTTATAATTAAGAACAGAAAACAAATGCAAACAGGACCTAACAAACTTAGATGGAAGCTGAGCATACATGGAAATTTTGGGCTTCCGACACAATTGATGACATTAGATTATGCTCAGGTGCAAGGACCAAATAGCTGCACAACAAAAAGGAGCATTAACCACAAGTGAAGCTGTGCCAAAAGAAGCAGAGTAGAAAGTAAATACAGAGTAGTTTTTTTAAGAGGAAAATTGCCTACGTGGCCCCAAAAACAGTATCAGGCCTTGTTGTGTATACAGTAACTTTCAAGTCTCTGTTTTGACCATCACCATCTAAAATACAAAAATCTAGCTCCGCTCCCTCTGATCTCCCTATCCAGTTTCTCTGCATTTCCTTGATACTTTCAGGCCAGTCTAGGTGGTCTAAATCTTCAAGAAGGCGATCAGCATATGCAGTAATCTTCAACATCCATTGCCGCATAGGCTGCTCTGCAAGGAACAATGTGTGTAAAATTGTGAAAGCCTCCGAGAAGCAAATTAATGAAATTGTGTGTGTGTGTGAGAGAGAGAGAGAGAGAGAAAAGAAAGTTACTCAGAATCAACATAATCATTCTTCCTGCAGTCCCAAAAATAATACGGAGTACAAAAGAGTCATGTTTCAAAAGTTCTTTGGTTCCAAGAAAATAGTTTTTTTGTTCTAAGAAAAGAATCATATTTCATAAAACAAAACTAGTTTTTCATGTCATTTTAAAAAAAAATAAGTTATATACAAGTTCAAAATGATACGTTTAGTCAAATCAATGGATTTCAATGCATATACAACAACAACAACTCAGTTGAATCCCACGAAACTAAGGTCTGGGGAGGCCCGGAGGGTGTGTACGGAACGGAGTCAAATAAGTACATATATACGGAGTACTTTAAAAATATAAATACAATTCAGATAGAGGTATAACAAAAGCATACCTTTCTAATGACAGGATGCCCTCCACGTTCACTTACTCCATCAACTACCTCTTCATTTGCCAAGACAGTTCCAAGGGCAGGACACCAATTTACAGGAACTTCGGCCTAAAAATAAAAGCATAGACAATAGATCCTGTTCTAACAGAGAATAAAATATTTCATTTTAAAAGTACTCCATAGTCCATACCTGGTATGCTAGCCCTCGTTTCAATAGTTGAATAAAAATCCACTGTGTCCATCTATAATATTCAGGTTCAGTCGTAGAAATTTCACGGTCCCAGTCATATGAGAAACCCAAAGATTTGAGCTGAATGATCATTTTAAATGTCAGCCAACAAATTAAAAATCTCAATTCACTAATTGATTAGATTTAAGATTCCGTGATACGGTGATAGACTGAACAGAACATCATCGTTGTAGTCTTGTAGATATAATTATATGAGAATCTTTATGGTTTGAGCTAAGGGATGATTTTAAATGAAAGAAAATCAACTAACTAGAAAGTTCAATTTGCCAAGTTAATAAGAAATATTTTGTGTTAAGAGACGTGCCATAACACATCATTAGTCTGAGCAATATCATTAAAGATATATTCATATACAAAGCCTAAAATTTTGAGAGCTGAAAGATCTTTTTAGTTGTCAGTATTCACCATGTTAGTTAAATGCAAGATTCCATGCCAGAGAGACACCATTGATGCAATATAACTATATTAAATAAAGTCAGGTATGAAGCACTACGTTTATAGCTAGTAATTGCAGCGCTTAAATACAACTAAGGTATAAAAGAAAAGCACATAATAATAATAAGATGGCACTAAAAACAAATTCAGGAAGGTTACCTGTGATCGGAAGCGGTTTATATTTTTCATTGTTGTAATTCTGGGGTGTGTACCTGTCTATAAGTCAAAAGGAAAAATAAATCATAAAGATTCATAACAATATGGAGCCAACAAAATTGATTCATGATAAAGGATGAATAAACAACCTCTATTGCATACTGCTCTGCAGGTAAGCCAAAGGCATCCCATCCCATTGGATGCAAAACATTGTAACCTTGCATGCGTTTAAATCTAGCAAGGATATCTGTAGCAGTGTATCCAAGAGGATGCCCGACGTGCAATCCCGAACCACTGCAGAAAATGACAAGCGAGAGATCAATACACTGACTATAGAGAAGCTCTAAATTTGAAACTAGTAAAGGCAAAATCACCAAAGAGAACAGAAAATTAAACTCTGTAATGTCTATATCATTAGGTTGGGATCACTAAATTGGTCATACTCAGTACGACATTTGGGTCATACTGCACCAAAAGCTAAAAATTCAATCAACTAACTAGTTCATACCAAAACTTTAATCTTTTCTTTTAGCATTTCAGTGTGGACTCCAACACCCACTTCAAGTGGACAAAATCTAAAGAACTATGATATGCCAAGACTACATTTTCAGACAGAAACCAGGTTATGTAGGCATCATGCAAAACGGACAAACAAAGTGAGTCAAAACCTGCTCTAATACTTTAGGATTGATCGGGTCACCGGTCACACCATGGGCATCGTGCAAAATGGACAAACAAAGTGAGTCAAAACCTGCTCTAATACTTTAAGATTGATCGGGTCACACCTCTTAGATTGTTGGGTCAGACCATGCTAAAATATACTCCCTCCATCCATAAATTTTCTTCTCATGCACTTATTCACACGGTCAAACTTTATTTACACTATTTCCTTATTTTCACAACTCATTTCATAATATGTAGTATAATATACTCATGCCACATCTTGTTTTGTAGAACTTTTTATTTAGTTTTCTAATATATAGATTTTATTTTTGGATTTTACAACTATAATAAAGTAAATTGAATTAAAAATAACTTTAGTTAAACATCGTAAACTAGAACGAGAAAAAAAATTCCAGATGGAGGGAGTACTTCATACTTCCTCTGTTTTATAGAATGTTTGACTAAAGTTATATACTTATATCAATTATGTTAGGGGTACATCAAGGAGTGTACTCCAAATTGTACACCAAAACTATGTACCAACATTTTGATGGTTCATACAGGCACAAAACGCTAGTGTGATAAAAAAAATTGCATTAGCATTTTGTGCCAGTGTGAATCATTACACTAACACAAAGCGCACACCTGTTGTGTACAATTAAATGAATTACGTTCAATTCATTTAAAAATTTGTATAGAATTAAAAACGAAATATATTGAGTTCTATAAAACCGGAGGCGACTTGAGTATAGTATTTTAACAAATGATCAATCATGAAAATAAGAAATATACTCAGATATGGTAACATTTTAGTGTGTTTAATATTCTCCAACGTGTAAACCAAACATAGTATCTGTTGGGGGAAAACGAAGATAACGCGTATTGATTTAAGAGTCGTGTAGCACTTTCAGATTGATTATTTTGATTCAATCCAAAAATAAATCGGATAAAACTCAAAATTTGACAAGAACAGGTATGGATTGATATGAACTTCGAAGTCGGCTTTTGCGAAAGGATATGCGGAATTTATAGAGCCGCGGAAGAGAAGAAAGGCGGCGGTCGCGTCTCCCATCTAAAACGCACGTCCCTTTGTGCGAGTTTGAGAAACAGTGCTGCCCCCTTGGAGCCCCCGTTAAGACAAGACTTTTATCATAACAAACTCAACGAAGCGTGCACTCCGCACCACCAAACTTCTTTGATGATTATTATGATACCACTGGTCAAATAGTTTTTCTAATTACACTAAAATATATAACAGTATCCAGCTAAAATGCTAAGCACCATTGGCTAATTTCAAATCAATTTCAGTAAAATTAAAGCAATTAACTGACCTGGGGTAGGGGAACATGTCGAGAACATAATACTTCGGTTTAGAAGTGTCGATTTCATCAGGGGTTCGGAAAGTTTTCTTCTCCTCCCAGAATTTATGCCACTTGGGTTCGATTTCGTGGAAGGGGTAAGCTCTCCTCGCTTGATGGCGCCGATTCTCCTTGTTCTCTCCCTCCAATTCGCCGACGCAGCAGGAGAGTCTGGGGCGGAGACGGAGGACGGAGAAAAGCAGCTCGCGGCGGCGAAGAAGCGGATGCGCCGGCGACGGAGATTGCGGCTGCGGAAGCAAGTAGTGGAGGCGCGAGTGGGTTTGGATTTGGATGTTCATTTGTGCTCCTTTCCACTTCGCAGAGCAGAGCAGAGCACAGTAATCTGAATGCTGAATGAATGGGGCAGAATTGCAGAAAATGTAGATAACGGAGGCACCATGCAGGAGAGAGAGTATGGACTGTTGAAAACAAGTGTCCCAACAGAATAAGGGGAAATTACTTGTATAGCACTAAAACAATGCCCCTTTCTTTTTATAGCACTAGTGTTAGGAAGTCAATTGTTTTAATGGCGCAGGGGTATTGAAAATACTAAAATGACCTTCATTTTTTTCGTAGATGTAAAAAACCGCTGAGCCGCTTTCCATTCAAGACGTTCGGATCCCTAAAATCACGGCATTACCTTCGAAGGTCTCTTCTTGTAGAAGGTAATTGGCCTTGAATTTTGGGAGGAAATAGTATGCGGCTGTCAATTGCGTGTTTAAACCCTAAATTTAGAAAACGCAGAGGGAGAGAATTGAGAAACAGAGACAAAAACGCAGGAGAGGTTGCGGCGACGAAGACAGTGAGAAGTGATAGTGAGTCGCCGATTGTGATGTCCGCGAGGAAGACGACGACGGCTGCTGGAGTTGCTATTGACGACAACACCGAGATTGTTGGCGAAGAGGGCAGTGAAATTACTGTGAAATGCGTTTCTGGGAAGGTTAGTTTATTCTGTCTATGACATTTTTTTGGACATTATTCATAAAGATGAAGTTTTTGTTAGTGTTTGAGAAGGAAAATAATGTATTGTAGTGGTGTAGTGTGTTGCATGCTTTGGGTTTTTTTCTCTGAATGATAGGTAGTAGGCAGTGTAGAGGATTTTGGGATTATGAGGGTGTTGTCCTTTGAATGTGCATATTATTAAAGATCAAACATGATTGAGTGTTTTTGATGGAATTAAATCAATTTCATGAGAAAGTAAGTGTAGTGTTTCATTAGGGTTAGTATACTGTTTCTTAAGGGTTTTCCATAATGGTCACTGGACTGTGCTATGTCAATGTCAGTTGGTCAATGTGTTTTGTTGTTGTTCAGTGTATTATGTAATGGTTAGTATGAAGACTAAGGTTAATTTGGAGTCAGAGTTTAGAAACAGTCCAGTGTTCTTGGTTTTAGAGGACAGTGGTGTTTTTATGTGCATGGTATTAAAAGGAAAGGATCATAATGGGGTTTTGAAAGGGTTAATATCCAATAGACTACCAAGTAAGTGTATTGTTTCTTAGGGCAAGTGTAGTGTGAAAATGAGTTTCTTTTGTTCTGTTCCGTATAGTGTTTGTTCTATGTCACTGTAAAATGCTTTCTCCGTGTTGGTTCTAATAACAATTGGGTTTTAATGACCAGAGTAAACCAGTGCAGTGTGTTGAATATATTGTCAGTGTTTATTAATTCGAAATATGCTGTCAGCAGGGCAGTGTTTTGGGGATTAGGGAGGCAGTGTTAATTGAATGTGCAACGTATTATAGAATGTGCTAACTGCTCTAAAGGAATGAACTTTGGTGAAGTGTGTTTTGTGAATTCATAGAAGATTATGTCTGTTTTTTAAGTGTGTTGTGACATGGGAGATTTTGTATATTTTTTTTAAAAATACCGAAGGATGTGCAGAGAAGACATCTTGGCTTCCAAGACAAACGTCAAAGCTAATTGTTATTGCAATGTGTTGAGTGGGGTCGAGAAGCTACGGCGAACATTGTCAGAGTCGGAGTTGGAGGCTTTGGGCAAGACGCCCTTTGGTCATTTGCTTGATGTTGGCAATCTCAAATGGGTTAACGGACAGCTCCTAATACTTTTAGCGTTGAACTACGTTGAACCTATAGAGCCAGATAGCGATGCAATATCTTTCCACATCCGTGATAGGGTGGTCAGTTTTAAGAAAACTGATTTTGCTCTGATTACTGGTTTCAAATTTGGATGTCCAGCTGAACAAGAGAGGGAGTACACTGGCACTTCAGACATCAGTAGCAGATATTTTGGGGGTAGAAGTGTTGTGACACGTGATGAAGTGCGGGTGGTCTTAGAGGGTCTAAAGGACAACAAGAGAAAAAGAGAGATGGATGGCGTGAAGATAGGAGTCCTTTACCTTCTAGGCAGTCACATAGTTGGAAACCAGCCCTCCATGAAACTACCACCACTTTATTTGCATTTGGTAGATGACTTGTCCCGTTTGAACGCGTATCCCTGGGGCGATGAGATTTGGGATCTTTTGGTTGAGGACATGGCAAAGTGTTCATTGACTTTGAGGACAAGTAAAAAGGACCGGTTCACATTCCCGGGATTTTTAATGGCTTTGCAAATTTGGGCATTTGAGACATTCCCAGGTCTGGAGAAAAGGGAAGTGTGCGAGATGATAGAGAGTCGGAGAGGGAAATGGCCGCGTGCTTTACGATGGGCAGCACCAACACTGACAAATCACATAGTGTTGGAGGAAGTGATCTTCAGTAATGCTAAGGTATGTGCTCGTTTTTCATTGTTTGACTCCTTTTTTTGTGTTTTAAAGGTATTCTGCAATAGTACTTGGACAGTAATCATTTTTTGAGCTTTTTTTACAGTTTGAATGGATTGGCATGAAGGCAACTGCCTTGGAGATTGGGAAAGAGAATGTTAAGTGTCTCTTTTTAAATACCCCAATGATTGAAGGAGATGGAAGCCTTAAGGTACTGCAAGTGTGTGATCAAGGAGCCAATGCCAGAAGTCTTGAAGGCCCGCCCAGTAATGAGCATTGTGGACAAGAAGAGGGGGGATCCTTCCGGAAGGAAAGAATACATTTCATTGGGGAGTTGCTTGTGATAATGGAGGAGAAGCCCAGGGTACTAAGCATGTTGGTAAGAAGCGTAAACCCAACATAAGGAACCCGAGTCAAGGCAAAAAAGGGAAAAAGAGGACATGTGGCAAGAAAGGTGATGACAAGGCAAGGAAAGGGGTTAATGAAGAGTTGTTGGAAAAAGTCACAAAACTGGAGGAGATGGTTACTGGTCTAGTTGCAACAAATGTGTTGGATCGCAAATTGCTTGTGAGCTTGCGTGGGAAAGTGAAGGGAATGCAAAGAGCACATGAGAGGCATGCAGTTCTGATGGAGAGATGCTTGAAGAAGTGTGGTTTAATACGTAGGAGGAAGAAAGGAATTAAAAAGAGCAGACAACATGCTGAAGATGGTCCTAGCTTTGACCTAGGCATTGAGCATGGAGGTAATGAGGGTTCAGCAGCTGATCAAGAAGAAGGTAGTGAGGACAATGTAAATTTAGGTGCATCTGATTATGAGATGGAAAACCCTACCCAACTTAATGACTTGGATGACACGATTAATTCTGTTGATACACAAATTCTTTTGGAACGTCGTGCTGTCATGGTACGCAATATTGTGCGTGACAATGGGGGGATGTTGGAGATTATAACGCGGAAGAGACTGTAAGGGTAAGTTGCACTGATTTCGATCATATGTATTTCATTAACTTATGTGAATGGGAATATATGTATAACATTGATCTTTGTATGTGAAAAGAATGTCATTCATTTTTTTGTACACATTTTTTAACTATCCAGGTGGAGAATCATGTGGAGAAGATTGCTAGTGAAGACATGAGATCTGGGGATTCCAATGTGCCTATCGCTATCCTAGCTGAAAAGGAGGGGGTTAGTGTATGCTCAACTACCTTATACCTTTGAGTATTTTAATAATGAAAATATGCTCCTATAGGTCTTTATAATAACATGTGGTCAGTGTGTAAACAAGACCCATGTAACATGTGGGCAGTGTGTGTGTTAACATCCTACATTGTGACTAATAACAGTCCCCATGAAACATCTGGATAGTGTGTGTGTGTTAATGGATATAGGACATTGCGTATACATGGGCAAAGTGAAGGGCAGTGTGTATATTAATATAGAATTGGAGATTAATCACAGTCCCCCTGAAGGGTATGGACAATGTGTGGGATATGTGTTATGGACAGTGTGTGGGTATGCCAAACTTCAGGGACAGTTAGTCAATCACATAATTGGCTACGGTTTAAGCAGTGACCTTAGGTAAAATAGATAGGGGACAGTATAACCAGATATAATTTTATGAAAATTAAAGTATGTTAGACGGTTCTTTAAGGAAATGCATTTACACACTTATTTTTTGAGTCATTGGTGTGGAGTGTGATATGAATGAGGAATTCTCTAATACATGTGGCCTGTATGCGTACAATAGGTTAAAACCGTTAAAACACTGTGGGTGGTGATGGAGGGTTGAGCTTTTTTCATGTGCGTGGATTAGATTAAGTGACATGCTCTTACTCTTTGATGGCAGATTCAGGTTCTTGATAATGGCGGCAGTCTACAAGGTAATGCCGTGGGGATGAGTGTGGGAAGGAACGAAGTCACACCAACACAGCTGAGTGAGGTAATTTTTTAAATGACATTAGCTTTGAGGAATATGATGTGAAATTTAAATTCAATTTACAAGCTGCCCTCTAAAAAGTTCACACTCTTTTAATAGTTATTTGAAGGGGTGGATTTTGATGATTGGCCAATTGGTGATCAGCAAGTCGCGCAAGCCGATACGATAGTCGATGATAGTCAGACAGAAAAAGCGAATGAAGAATCGATCCACTGCACACAAGTTGTTGTGAGTAGCAATGCTCTTTAAATAATGTTTTCATGTGTTGTAAATATCCTATCAGATAGTAATGTGTACATATTTCTTAAATGATGTGGAAGGAACACAACCCCAGAGGGCATGGTGATGCATATGACCGACCAAAACGGAAATTGAAATCTCCTGAGAGGTTCACTTTTTCAGATAAAAAAGCTGGTGACCAACGCAAGCGAGCAAAAAGAAGGGCCGATGTTATTGAGAGTAAGTCAGTATGTGATGAACTGTGCCTCGGTCCTTTCACCAAGGAGCCGATGGATCTTCCTGAGGTAGGGGTGTTAGAGAGGGTTGACACCTTCATGCATAAGGGTCTGCTGAAAAAGCCAAAGAACCCTGGACGGAGATACACTGCTACAGATGAAAAGCTCAGTGCAGATGCTATAATGGAGCTTGATGATGAGGAGGACACCTTGAGCAAAACATGGTATTACAACCTCTATTTCCCTGATGGGTGCCTATCAAACCTGGTATGTCAAATCAAGTAACGTTCGCTTGTATTGTGTAAAACTTTATCAATTTGTTTTATAGTGGTGAATATAGTTTGAAACGGGGGGTTTAAATGGTCAGTATAGGGTGTAATGCGTCGTGTTTTTTAAATGGTGATTATAGTGTTTTTTAAGGGTGATTATAGTGTTTTTTAATGGACTAGAAATTGTTGCCTCCGTGATGTGTGGTCAATGGGTTTTTAAAAATGGTCAGTGTTGTATGGAAATGGTTAGTATGACCAGATTAGAACAGTGCGATGAATTACTTATATTCTCAGTGTGCATTATTTTCAATGTGTTTAAAAACAAGGTTCAGAGAATCTGTGGGCAGTGAACATGATAAAGTTGTTGGACAGTGTTATTTGTGGTTTTAAATAATGAGTACTAATTGGTGTGTACATGTGTCTATTCGAACACTGATTTATTGTTCTTGTTTGCTTATGTTTTCTTTCTCTAATCTTGTATGGTACCTTGAGTTTATGGTATCTAATGATTTGTAGTAAAATTCTTTTTACTGATGCTAGCATATGAGTGTGGCATTTTATTTTCTGCGGAAGAAAGCCACTGATTTTGGTCTGGAGCAGAAGTTTGCAACTACAAGCCCAGCATTTGTTGAGTTATTGTGTGTGTTATATGAGCGTGTTTTGAAAAGAGAGATTACAGATTCTGATGCAGCACAGAATTCAGACATATTGAACACCATCAAAGGAAATAATATGGAGTATGGGCGTGCGTGGTCCGAGGCGGATTTTGTGTACATGCCACTGAACACAGGATCCGAATGGGTACTGCTTGTGGTTGACGTACGTGGAAAACTCATCCGGGTTTACGACACGAATGTTTACAGAGGGGGTTTCTTGAAGAAATTGCACCCATTTTTGCCGTCTTTGCAGATGTTTCTGCCAGTTTTAATGGGTAAGTTGGCGGTATATAAGGACAGTACGGATAGCAAAGAATCTCACACTGCGTTTCCAGTTGAACCTGTCTTGGAGTGTCCACAAAAAAATGACGGGTAAAACTTTTATACCCTGATATTGTTTTTTTTGGGTGTTACTGTTGTCCGTTAAGTAGCAAAGTTCACTTAAGACCTATTTGAAGGATAGATGAATTTATAAGTGCATTTTACTTTTTTTATAACAGACCAAGCTCCGGAATTTTTGTGATGAAAATGGCAGAGCTTCTGATGATGGGGAGAGGAGTGATTGAAATCGAGCCAGGACAGATAAATACATATCGGAAGAAAATTACTGCGGACATATTAATGTATGCTTCCTTTCAAGGACTCTAAATGCTGGGCATAGCAGGGTTATTTAAGTGAATGAATGGTTGCAACCGTCATGGAGACTTAGATCTTTGATGCCCGCTAAAAAACAGAATGTTATCTTTTTTTCTTTTCTATGTCCTTTTTTTAAATTTGGAATACTTGTAGTTTTTTCAGGTAGTATTGAAAATGTTAACCGGTTGAGTTTTGGATATCAAATGTTCATTTTGTTAGTAGAAGCGTGGTTATTTTAGCAGAAGCATAGTGAATATTAGAATGGTGGAACAATTACAAGCTGACTTATACTTGTGCACTGGCTAGGAATGAGGTGTTTTTAATGGTTGGTGTAGTGTGCAATGATTTTTTTTAATGGTCAGTATAGTGTTCTGTAATGGTCATTACAACGCGCTATATCCATGTTGGTTGGTCTATGTGTTTTGTTAATGGTCAGTATATTATGAAATGGGTTGTATGACCAGTGTAGAGCAGTGCAGTGTATTGCATACATTGTCAGTGGTAATTATTTCCAAAGTGTCAAAAAACATATTTCGGGTAATCTAGGGGCAGTAACATATGATAAAGATGTGGGCAGTGGTACATGAGAAAGTTGTGGGACAGTGTTATATGTGGTTTAAAAAATTTGTACTGATTCTTGTTTACAAACTTCTATTAGAAGAATGATATATTTTTAAACAATACATAGTAATTCGCACTAGAAAACATTACAAGGACCAAATATGTAATGAGGTTTTATTATAAAACAAATTAAGAAGAGGGCAGTACTACTAATAAAAGTTTGTTCCTGTGGTCAAGCAAAATAGAGAATGACACTAAACTTGGCGTCCAAAAGCAGCTAATAAAAAACCGTTTAAAAGTGAAATGCATTTCTTCGGTTAAGGAACCTAAAACTCTGTTGTGCAAGATTGATTTTGCTCACGAACAACGTACTGGAAGTGGATTAGTACATGTTTTTTTGTTATGTCCGGACATTGTGCAACGTGAACAAGTCTGCCGCCTCCTCTCTCCCTTAGATGGAATCCGTCTCTTTTTTGGCCTTCCTGGTGGACGTTTAGTGCATGAAGGCGGAAAACATGGGATAGTGGCGACTTCATCAGGGACTATCCATGAGTCTCTAGTAGGAATTGGGTGTATGACTCCATTATACGCAAGTTTCCACTCCACACTTGTGTAGAATGGGGATATGTAGTCATAAGATGATAAGCCTGGCCTATTGCGTATTGCGGCAACTGCGTGAACACAAACAAAGTGATCTAGTTGAAACTCTCCACACGTGCAGTTCCTCTCACGGAAATTGACAACATAAGACCTTCCTTTTTTATGAACAACCAAGTACTCATATGAGCATGACGGCCGAACCTAAACAAAAACGGTAAGAAAATGATGGTACGGGAATAGCAAAATGATGTGATTAAATGAATATGAATGTGAAAGCGTACCGTCATAACCGCAGATGCCACATGTAGAGCAAGTAGATCAGATTCACATTGTTTGGTCAAAATAGTAGATGTTGAATGAGCAAGTTCCCTACGATCGTGAAACCATTTTTGCATTCGTCCAACAATGAAATCAACAAGCTGAGCGATGGGGTATTCCCGGGGGGTCGCATTAACACTATTCATGGACTCCGCATTGTTCGACGTCATTATGGAATAGCGGTTCACATTGAAACATGATCTGGCCCACTTCTCCATGCCGATGGAATATAAATATGGTCTAATCCTCAGATCCTCATCGTCTAGTAGGCTCAGGTACCGATCGCAGTAGGACTTTGTGGGTGCGCGTGCAGTAGCAAAAAATTTCCATCTCAGTGCTTTCTCAGAACCATTGAATTGTGATTTAATATTCCCCAAAATGTGATGAACACAATGACCATGAGGAACACGAGGGAAATGTGCCTTCGCAGCCTTGATGATCCCACCATGACGGTCAGATAAAATGTATTGCACTGGTCGTATACTGAGGGCTTCCTTGAGTTTTAAGAAAAACCAATCCCAATTTGAGTCATTCTCAGCATCACAAATTCCAAATGCCAAAGGAAATATTTGTTTGTTGCCATCGTGAGCAACAGCAGTTAAGAGGGTGCCCTTATAATATGATTTCATGAATGTACCATCGATAACCAAAACTGGGAGGCAGTGAGCCCAACCAATCCTCCAAGCCGACAGAGAAAAAAACATATTTTGGAAAACACCTTCAGGAGACCTTGTGATGTCTATCAACGAACCTGGATTTGCCCGGTCGAGCATGTAACACATGGCTGGCAGCATGGCGTACGACTCTGCATCACTACCGAATGCAAGCTGCATTGCTTTCTTCTTAGCAGACCATGCTTTCTTGTATGACATGGAAATGCCGTGATCCCTACACATGTCCGTCATAATGGCCTTAGGCGGGTATGGTTTGTTGGTAGCATCACTGTACTTGTATTTGACTAAATCAGCAATGATATCATACGTGGCTTGACGTGTTCTACCCTGGCGTGCATCGATTGGGCATTGATGTTCATGATTATACCTGAGACAAGACAGCATAACATTAAGTGTAAGTTGATTTTTACCTTGAGAGGTGAAGGACAGTGTGTACTCCATTTAAAAGTGCATGATATCTACAGACCCCATGGAGACATGGACAGTGTGTGTGATAACCTGGTGTAGACAGTGTACTTGGCAGTTTCGAATTGAAGAAGGTTTGGACAGTAACCTAGAGTAACATACATATGGGCATTATAGTGTAATAACAAGTTATAGAGATTATAATGTGGACAGTAAGTGCGATTAAGTTCAATTTTTTTAGCACATTAAATTATAAAGACAGTGTGTCCATATAATTTTGAGACAGTGTGTACATTTAACTTTGTGACAGTGTGTCCAGATTAATTTTGAGACAGTGTCTGTATTAGAGTGTTGTGTATTGCAGCGTGTATTGCAACATATACTTAATGATATAGTTGTTGAGAAAAAAACATACAACAAATCAATTTTGTGGATGCATCTGAAAACGGAAGAAAACCAACAGAATGTCGCATAAAGTGTGTGAATGTAGAATGCTTTAAGACTAAGACGTACCTACGGATTTGGAACATATCCGTGCGTGGTAATCGAACTGCCCTAACAGCCCAAGAACAGCACCTGTTTTCCACACAAACGACGTGGAGAAGCTTCTTGGTCGACCTCTTAGTATGGAACTGGAAGAGGTTAGAGATTGCCAACATTTTGAGATGGTATAGTAAATCGCCTTTGTTCTCATAAATCGCATCCAACTCAATTTTAGTTGGATCAAAGCGAGTTACAACTTGGAAATCAAGGTTGGTGCAAATATCATTTGCAGACAAGACAACCGTAGAATTGTCATCCTTATCCAAATTTGGTTCACGTACTACAATGTCCATTGTGTATCCACCATTGTCCCTTTGGTAACTTGAAGGGCAGTTAATCAAAGGGGAATCCATTAGGTAATTAGTGGACTGATGTGACGATGACACAGAATGTTCTACGCTTGCAACGTCATTGTTCTGGTCAGATAATGAATTGAAACTTGATGGAGTCATACACAACGATTGGTCATTTGGGAGAGAAGAGCACGTACCTACATGCGTATGGTAAGTGTGAAAAAGCTCAATACACATAGGCATTGAATTCAAATCCAAATCCTGCGATTTCATGGTGAGGTATGAAACTAAGCTTTTGTCATCATCAATCAAAACCGGGTGGGGGGACGAATTGCACTTGTATGAAATCTTTAAAGTAGTATGCTCATTAACTTGGCCAAGTAGCGAACGAACGGCGTCAATAAGCATTCGAAAGGAGCTCTCGAATGAGATGATGAGTTCATGATAACTTTTAGCCCTGAATGAGCCATCACTCATCCATTCACCATCTAGGCACAACAATACACGAAACACGGATGGCGCTGGATGCGTCGGCATGGATATCGAATTCAACAACGAAGAAAACATGATAATGAGATTGGTAATCGATCCGGCAGGAGAGAATGTGGCGAGAATAATTTTGCCAGAGACGGTAGTGGATGTGGCGATTGAGGCGTATCCGCGTATGTAGAGTGGCGCACGATCGGAGGGAGTTTTACCGTGCAGGGGAATCAAGAGATCAGTTTATTCCTGAAAATTAGGGATAATCAATGATTTGTTTTCCAAAAATAAGTAAAAATTAAAAGGAATGAGTTTTAATGGGCTTTGGAGATGGAAGGGTATGCACGGTATTAGGGATGAAATTAAGTGCTAGAGAGAGGAAAAATAAGTAGTGGTGTCATTTAGGTAAAGCTGCTTTGTTTCGGTGCTCTCTTGGGTAAATTTCACACAGAATAATCCCTTTGGATTGTCTTTGATATATTTACTCTTTTTTTCATTTTAAATTATCACATGTTTTTTTTTTGAAAAAATTTTATCACATGTTTTATTTATCCTATAGTAATTTTACACTTCCTCTATCCAAAATAGTAGAGGAATTTTGTTTTCTCATATTTTCATTGATTATTTGATAAAATAAAATATTCTTGACAACATTTATTTCGAAAAACTTTTCATGTAATTTTTAAATATTTAAAATTTTATTTTTATTTCTATATCAATATTTAAATAAAATGAATTTAAAAAAATTTATATTTTTCCTTTTTCTAAAATGTGGTAAACATTTAGGGATTGAGGGAGTAGAAGAAAGAAAATAAAATTATATTCTCTTTTATTGTTTCGATATTTTATTTGGATAATGTTATAGAAGAAAGAAAATAAAATTATATTCTCTTTTCCTATTTCGATATTTTAAGATGGAAAAAAATAAATTTATTATACCCAAATTAATAGTTTGTAGGATTTCGTTAGACTTTCAAAATATAGAGGTATTCAATCTGGATTTTCAAAAATCTTGAGTTATTCAATTTAGATTTTCAAAATTCTTTAAAAATCTCAAAGTATTCAATAATCCATGAATTTTAATACCTCTATAGATTTTGTTGGATTCTCTTCCAAAATATGCTTACCTAAACTCTCTTCTTCCATTGGGAGTTTTCAAAACTTCCACGGAAAAGATTTTGCAGGTTCTACAGATAGATTTGTTGAGATGATCACAAGCGGATTAGTGCTGTGCACAAAATTGTGCAACCCATTTTGCATAGAGACGAGAAAATTATCCAGGTTCCCAATTGTGAAGCTAATTAGTGCTCAGAAAAGTAAGATTCTTCTTGAGATAACAGTCTGTACAAGGGGAGGGGAGGGGAGGGGGGGGGGGGCTTTCAGCCACCATAATGGAAGACCATAATTTACATTACATCTTCTTCTCATCAAACTCCTAAAACAAAGACTCATCACACTATGAACTGACCACCAAACACAAAGAAGACTCAACCAATCAACCAATCAATCTCTCTCAGGGTTCTTTTTCCAAAATCGCGTCCGGGATCGACGGGGAGGAGCCGCCACTGACTCTGCTTGCAGCAGGCGTGCTTCTCCGGGAGTTCCGTTTCGTGGGGACCACGGCCCCGCCGTCCTGCTCCGACTTCTCGTGGCTCCCACCACCGTCATCCTCGTCGTCCTCGTCGTCTCCCTCTTTGAAGATCGGGTGCACGTAGGCATCTTGAAGGTACGCTTTTAGGTTCAGGGCAGGCTCGGTCGCTCTCTCTAGGGTGTCTTTCCTTTTTGCTTCCTGAAACCCCAAAAAAAGAAAAAGAATGTCATACTTATACTAGTGTCATAATATGACACCAAACCATTTGGAGGACATATGGCGCTCCGTTGTGCCCAAGAATGGGTTCGGGCTAGGACCCGGTCCCGGGACCAATGGAGCGGTGTCATATTATGACACCCAATCCGGGTGTCTAAAAGAACCATGATAAAAAAAAATCTAGTTTTTATTTTTTCTTGACATTTTACTTGTTCCAAGATCCAAGCATACCCTTGACTCCCCCCTTGAAGCTCACTGTAGTTTGTTTATAATGTTTCATACCTGAAGTGGATATTTGGTGAAAGCTGGTTCATAGCGGCCCTTGCAGAACAAATGAAAGGAGATGGTTAATACAGGAAGCGCGATTAGGAAGGGCGCTGACGTGGCAGCGTGTTTTGTGCTCAGCAGTCCCAATGTAGAGATCTGAGAGAAGACCAAAGCAAATATGATTCGCCCGTGGACATCCGGCCAGAATGCAGCTCCACTTTCATACTCTTGGTTGTACACATTGATGATCTGTTAAAGATCCAAACTTTTTGTGTAAAGAACAGAAAATCTAAACCAAAACTGTGTTTTTATAACAATAATGTCAAGAAAAGAAAAGAAAAAAGATACCTGATGTCGATACACGACATATGCCAGACTAAAGAAAACCAGTATAAAGGGAAGAAGTAATGGGGTGACGACGGCATAAACGAGGCCTAACAAGAAGTATAACTGTATTTGGGGTTCGCCCGTATTGAAGCCAATGCTTCCGGGGTCCATTGCCTCCTCCCTGTCCTTTTCAGTCTTAACCAGGAAAAAATTCTTAAGATGGAAGATTATGAGTGGTTTCAGCCTCAAGATCTCCCCAGCAGTTCCAGCCCATCCGTCCACCATTATATAGGTTATGAAGAAAGTTGCTTTCATTGGGATTGCTGCTCCAATAGTTTCCGGTATTCTGCACATGGATACCAAACAGAACCTTAGGAAAAATATTATTTGAAAGTATTATTTCATTCCTCTCTGAATTTTCTTGGCTTTTTCCATATTTCCCGTTCTTATCCGAGTTTTACTTGAGGCAAACACATCCTTCAAGTATTCCAATTCATAACTCATCCAAGAATCACTCTCTATAAGCGTTTCCTTTTCTACTGATGCTGAAATTTAGAAAGAAAAAAGAGAAAAATTCATGCATATACCCCAAGAAATCTGAGGATTTTACAAGAATACTCCAAAACTATAATTATCCAGCAGCGCTTCAAGAAATTCAATATTTTTACAATATAACTCCAAAATAGCATATTGAGCACACATATGCCTAAAAGAATAGGGGATCCATGAAATCTAAAGATCCTTTTGGAGTTTTATTTTAAAATATATTAAATTTCTAGGAGAGCTAGTGATAATCATGTAATCTTTAGACTATTCTTGAAAAACTAACATTTCTGGAAGTATTGGCAATTGGCATGAATTTTTTGACGATACATAATCAATACTGCTGAATACAGCCAACAAAATAAAGCTTTGCATAGTAATAATGAAATAACATTACTTGTTGGCTGACTGGTGGATGAAGGTGTTCAATTGTTCAAAGGCAGCTCCTGCGATTATGCTTGCAAAGAAGACATTCACAAAGTTGAAAATATAATATCTGGAAGCAGCTCTTCGCTCTAAAGATGATAAACTGAGAAAGCCTTCAAATTTGGACATCAGCATCAGTATGGTAGGCAGTAGGATGAGAAAAATCTTCAAAGCCAGACCGGGCAGAAACCCCTGGATAAATGATTTGACAAAGGGTCTGCATGGTAACAAGAACTGTTATAAGTACCAAAGATAGGAAGAAAAATGATCACTTTATCCATCTAGAGAGACAACTTTGGCACATTGATTCTTGTTATAGCAGTATAAAAACACAACAAGATACAAGAAAGTTTTGCCATTTTTCAAGGGCAAAAACTCATGTCAATAATCCCAGAAATATGAGATTTTCCACGGATACTGCAAGATTGTAAAATGATCACTATTTCTTCTAGAATTTGAATATATTTTTTATAATAATACTCCATCAAGATTTTCATGTTACATGAATTCCTCCTTTCATGAGTGCCGGTGATCTTTTTGAAATCTTGGGAGTATTGTTGTAAAATTATATAAATACTAGAAGCACCTGTGATCATTTTGTAACCTTGGAGTATTCGTGTAAAATATCAATTTTGTGGGAGTTATCCATAGTATTGGCATGAATTTTTCATTTTTCACGATTTTTCAAACTTCGAAGTATTTATTATCAAGAATAACAAGCCTTCCAAATACTTCCAATCCAAGCCCCTCCATCCAAACACACGCTTAGACACTGTTGGATTCAGCTTGTTCATGTTTCCACTGCTTCGCAGCTTACTGACATTTTCACTAAGAGTCTTCCTGGAGTGCTACATCACAAGCATCTTTCCAAGTTGGGGGTTCATCCACCTCCAACTTGAGGGGGGTGTTGGATTCAGCTTGTTCAATTTGTTACACTTTGTTACTTAGTTAGAAGTCTGTTACTTAGTTGTGTTAGTTAGAAGTTTGTTGCAGTTTGTTATTTTCTTTCTCTTTAGCCTTCCCGTAGCTTCTCCTCTGTATAAAAGGACCTGTTCTTCTTCCCAGAAGAGCTGCTGTAATCACAATAGCCATAATCAATGATTCCTTCTTTCTTCTAGCTTCTAGTATTCATCTTCTTCATCTTTCGCGATCAAAAGCAAATCAACAGACACTAAAATTTACAATTAACCACACACGAATAGAGAACCATGAAACTAAAACGGTTAATAAAAATGCCATCACTTAGAGAGCTATATACTTACATGTCAATGATAACCTTCAAAAAGGGTGCCCTTTTTCGGATACTTTCAATATTGGCAAGTCCTTGGACAGATGCAACAGGAATCATGAAAAAGAAAGTGAGGAAAAAGAAGGCAACACCAATGATGAGCTTCCTAATTGTCAACGAAACATATGGAATTGCCAAGTTTTGCCAGTATACATCACGCGGTTCTGGGGCCCACTCTGTCAACCACAAAGTGGGGTTTCGAGTCTGTTGTGTTTGTGCACAAACCGCAGCGGACCACCGAGATTTGAAGGAGACAAATGCTGCTGGCATGAGGGCTTTTGGATCATTTTTCACCCTTTCTCTCTCTTTAGCAATCTACAATTAGAGGATAAATCTTTTAAATGGTGGGTAGAAATTATTTTACTCAAATCATCCTTGTAACAAAGGTGGATGAAAAGTGAAAGGCAGATAAAGATCAGTAGAAAATCAATCCAATGATTCTTAAAGGCTATGTTTGGAGCATAGAAAATGGTAGAATGAGGGAAAGAAATGCCAAGGGAGGTTATTTTCATTTGTTTGTTTTAACCTTGAAAAATATAAATGGAAATCAAATTTGAAAAGAACTTTATAAAATTCAACCTATCATGTGTTACAATTTCTTACTATGTATATACTTATTAGAAATATATGAACAAAGTGTGTTTGAAAAAAAATCTAAAATTGATTTATTGACGTTGAGCAATTGAGCCTCTTTTCCTTCAAGTTTTCATTCCTTTCAGATTCCCCTCAAATTTTTCTTTCCATA